GAAATCGGGGAGCTACTCTGATTAATGACGATTTTGTTAACATCTAGTTTTGTTATATGTGGAACTGGGTTCTTTTTTGATAGGTGGTTGAATTTAGAAATCAGGTTAGCTTTACATTTGACTGACAGTGACTCAGCAGAAGAAGCAGTCATGTTGTCTACGTGATTCCAATCAGAAGGTGACATTTTTTGTCTTAACATTAAATGAGCTTGTAGGAGAGTCCTGTCTAAAGTATCGAGTTCAAATCGGAGTAGCCTTATCGTCTCTGAGATTAAAGATGGGTATTACCTTGTGATCGCGGCGCTTTCACACTCACTTCTGCTGCTGTATCTTCTCCGAATTCTAAACAGATTCTGCTTAAGGCAGCCTATCTTTAATCTCAGAGAGGATAAGGCTACTCCGATTTGAACTCGATACTTTAGACAGGACTCTCCTACAAGCTCATTTAATGTTAACACAAAATATGTCACCTTCTGATAGGAATCACGTAGACAACATGACTGCTTCTTCTGCTGAGTCACTATCAGTCAAATGTAAAGCTAACCTGATTTCTAAATTCAACCACCTATCAAAGAAGAACCCAGTTCCACATATAACAAAACTAGATTTTAACAAAATCGTCATTAATCAGAGTAGCACCCCGATTTCGGACAATCTGAAAACAGTACTGGCTAGGGGACTAAATTTTGCTGTCACCCCGAAACACATACCAATAGATGATATCATCTCTCAGGTCGATGTAGCCCTCAAAGGCATAGGACACATCCAAGCAGACGTTGCGAGAGCTGAAATAGCCACCATTCTTAAGAATGCTAAGAAACCCATTAGTAACATCAGCAAAAATGAACACTCTGAACTCGCGAATTAAAAAAAACAGAAGTGATATAGTCATCCTCTCAGCCGATAAAGGCAACGCTACTGTTATTATTGATAAAGATTCATACAACAACAAAATCCAGAATCTGCTCAACGATGGAAGTTACTCAAAAATAAAAAATGACCCTACTAATAGCCTAGCGATAAAAACCAACAAGATCATCACAAGTTCGACCTCCCTAATCGACCCAACTAAACGTCCCTCCCTAAAATCTTCTGCTGCAAGACCCCCTAGATTCTATGGTCTTACCAAGATTAATAAAGAAGGCACCCCACTTCGACCCATCGTATCCACGATCAACTCCCCTACCTATAGACTAGCCCATTTTCTGTCAGATACCTTGCTGCCTTTCACTGGCAAGACCGCCTCAGCAGTACTTAACTCAGCCCAATTGGTCTCTATGGTCAAAGACATTGTACTGTCCCCTGACGATATCCTTGTCAGCTTCGATGTGGTCTCTTTGTTCACCAAGGTCCCAGTACCTGATACCATTGAAATAATTGAAAATTTGGTCCAACATGGACTAGACCCCGACACACCTGCACTGGTTAGGCACTGCCTTAACAATACCTACTTTACTTGGAATGGCTCCTTCTACAAACAAAATGAGGGTACCCCATGGGATCCCCCTTATCACCCGTGATAGCCAATATTTTCATGGAGAAATTTGAATCAGACGCCATCCAGTCTTCCACCCTCAGACCTTCCCTGTGGAAGAGATATGTAGACGACACTTTCGTCATTTGGCCACATGGCCTCCCAGCTCTGAACCTTTTCCTACACCACATCAATTCCAGACATCCCGCCATCAAATTCACCATGGAAGTGGAGAAAGATGGCAAGCTACCATTCTTAGATGTTCTGTTTGAGAGGAGACCTGATGGCTCATTGGGGCATTCTGTCTACAGGAAACCCACCCACACAGATTCCTACTTGAAACCTGATTCCCACCACCACCAAGCCCAAAATAATTATCTCATAAAAACTTTATACCATAGGGCTCATTGCATTTCGGACCAACACCACCTGACCAGTGAATTAAAACATGTACACCTGGCCCTCAAAAGGAATGGCTACTCTGACCGTACCATCCGCCAAGCTGTTTCTCCCTCCATACAGAAACAACCACTTGATACTCCGGTCAAAACCATCACACTTCCATATATAGCAGGCCTTACTAAAAATATTTCCAAAATTCTAAACAAACACAAGATCCAGGTCCGGTTCAATACAGTACACAAAATTCGTGATCTGATCCCATCCGTGAAGGATGCCATTCCTGATTTACAGTACCCCGGGGTTTACAAATTGAGTTGTTCCTGCGGTGATTGCTACATCGGTGAGACAAAGCGACATGTCTCTGACCGAATTCGTGAGCACAAATCAGATTTGAAACACGGCAAAACGAATTCTTCTGCCGTGGCTGATCACTGTTACAACGCTGTGGGGGATCACGATATAATTTTCTCCGATGCCAAGGTTATTTGCAAACCCACGGGTTTTTATCAGAGATTTGTTCATGAAGCAATTCAACCGAGAGGATGGTTTCAAATCAAGCAACCATTGGAAAGATGTTCTAAATCGAACTAAACATTAAACTAATTTCAATGGTACAGTATATTTTTCAAGTAGTGGTACCCCAACCTTTCGCAGCTCTTATAAATTCCCCCTTTTCACACCATTAATAGGTAAACTCCCCCTCCCCCCTTTCCCCCCCCCCTCCCCGCGCCAAACTGCAAGTCCACCGGCACGTACCTCTTTCCTAAAATCCGCCAATCAAATGCTAATTTTTATGCTAATTTCTTTGTCAGAACACCTTGTTTGCTCGCACACAGGTCCGATGTCTGAGCGTGGTTGTGTTTCACTAAATTCTCCTGTTTGATGAGTACTAGGTGCCTCGGTGAATGTATATGCTCTAACTTTAACACAGCTATTTCTCTGACCAGTTACAAGCTAATCACTCAGCTATTTCAATGCTAAATTCGATGCTAATTCCTTTGTCAAGGGGTACCTCTGCGGATGTGTATACTTTAACTTAGCTATTTCAATGAGCCATTTCCATGCTAAATTATATGCTAATTCCTTTGTCAAAGCACTTGGCCTTTTTCTTCTCACACAGCTTAAAGGTCGTGATCTAAGCGTGGCTTCTTCCACTCCAGCGCTGTCCTCCAGACAGTCTCGTCCCTTCACCTGATGAAGGCCGCTTGTGTTGTGGCCGAAACGTCGTGATTTTTTGTTATTTTATTTTCACCTACGTGACTTTACCCAATAGAACCAAAGAGTATGGATCCTAGCAGTCACGAAAGCTTTAAATCTAGAAAAGTACCACAAGTATTCAATTCGTGGTCACGTCTCCCATCTGGTGGACATTTGAAGTACCACACGTATTCAATTCGTGGCTATGTCTGCCATCTGGTGGATATTTGCAGTACCATAAGTATTCAATTCGTGGTTATGTCTGCCATCTGGTAGACATTTGAAGTATAGGCCAACACAGTCCGCCAGCAATGTTTTCGCTGTCAGGGGCCACCCGTGCATTCCCCTTAGTGTAAATCGCTGATGCTACGGCGTCCTGGAGTTTGTCCGAAGCACGGTTGGCTGCAATGAACCATTGAAGACACCGCACAGTGCCACTGCTGCTATTACCGCACCGTGGCACTGCAGTTGCACCATGTGTCCACACGGTGGCGATACAGCACCAACCCGCGGCATCGCGTCCACGGTGCGCGGTTCGCGTCGATAGTCGGCGGTGCGGCGCGGTGATGGCTCGGGTCGCTGTGTGGCCACAGAAGCGAGAGGGACTCCACCACAGCGACGCGGTATCTATGCCCGCCGTGTCTCATTACCCCGACCTACCGACCCGACTTCAGCATGCGTCCATGTTGGTTAGGTTATTCAGCGATCGTCCATGTTGGTTAGGTTATTCAGCGAGCGTCCATGTTAGTTGGGTTATTTAGCGGCCGTGGTGTTTTAGGCGAACGTGATAACCACTACACTACGGACATCACTTTCAACACATGTGAAGTAGAACATGCTTCAATGGCATAAGCCTATTCAAACTACGGTTAATTATAAAAACATCATCTTCGTGAGGGCACATTTTACGTGCACTTTATATAAAACAAAGTTTGTTTGGTGATGCATAACACAGTTCACCGCTCAGTTAAGAACCGGGGCCCTTCGCTAAACACCACTACAGAAACCACTGATAGCACATGTGAAGAAGCAATATATTTCACTGGCATAGGCATATTCCATCAATGGTTAATCATGAAATCGTCATCTTCATCAGGGCACATCTGATATACTTTCAGTAAAACAAGGTTTCTTTGGTGATGTGTAAAATATTTGTTCCTGGGTATTACGTGTTATTTTCTAATTGCTCATCCCTCAAAAGTACAGAAAATGGCTATTATACCCCATAAACTTTGCTTTTGTGACCAGGACTTTATGTGAAGGAATGACAAATGTACACGTTTTCTCATTGAAAATAGGTACATTTCAAATATCAATGTCCTGGTCACAAAAGCAAAGTTTGTGGGGTATAATAGCCATTTTTTGTACCTTTGAGGCAGAAGCAATTAGGAAATAACACTACCCACTGTGGAACATGATTTTGTTCCACAGTGTAATAGAGTAATCCAAACAATCCCATAAACCCGCTACAATATTCACATCAAACTTAAGGCGTATTAGGGAATAGGGTTTTCCCCTTTATTCTGGCAACAAAACAGGCATTAAGTTGTAAAAAAAACTAAACCCTTTTACAAGGAATCATGTCTGCATTAAGCACAACACTTGTGGTCAAAATAAAAAAAACTCTGATCATATATGTATTTATATATTTTATTATTTTATTGTTTCCCTTCAACGTGACTTTACCGAAAGAACCAAGAATATGAATCACTACAGTCACGAAAGATTTAAATCAAAATATATACATTGTCTTTGAAACTGATTGGTATTAAAGTGTATCTTCAAAAAGCCATTGAACCCCCATGGTTGAAAATACGTTCCATATCGTTTAACTGTACGACACTTTAAATCAAAATAAGGCTTTTTTAGGTTATAAAATAAAATGTTTCCGCCCGGTTTCGAACCGGGGACCTTTCGCGTGTGAGGCGAACGTGATAACCACTACACTACGGAAACCAACCTGGAGTCAGCTGCCTCCAGGCCCTACTTGGTCTTAAACTCCTCCTTCCAAACGCCGTAGCTTAGAAACAACGACCCCTCGTTACCATCGTGACAGAAACGCCGCTCTCTGCACCTCGTGCTCCCAATTCAGTTGTTTTCAAATAAGTACCGGCCCATCATCTGTATTGTCGCTGACTGTTTTAATGAATACGCAGTTCGTTTTTATCTTTCAACGTGGGTGAAGTTACTCTACTGATAAGGGCCTCGTTGTTGCCTGATTCTCTGCGGGAATTTGGTCCGCCTCTGGGGGCGTTGCTTTCATGCGAAACCCCGGTCTCTCTTCGGCCTGATTAGACATTTACACTGCAGTACGAAACAAGAGCGCGCAATCAACTGGATTTAACGTTATTATGGATTTAATAACGTTATTATATATTTAATAACGTTATTATGGATTTAATAACGTTATTATGGATTTAATAACGTTTTTTATGGATTTAATAACGTTATAGATTTATTAACGTTATAGATTTAATAAGGTTGTACAACGACCGAAGAGACAAAGACAACTGAGTAAATGTGGCCTGTGGAAAGTTTATGACTTACAGTACTGTAATTAAAAGTTGATCCAGGCTAGAGAGACACTCAAGAGACCTTGGCAGGGGAAGTAGAAAGTCAAAAGTCTCCACGTCCCAATTCGAACTTCAGCTTCAATAACGCGAGAATCATCAGCACGGGACAGCCAGCAGTAAGGAAAAGTGTTCTACTGTGAAAGCTGAGGTTGCCTGGTGGAGTCGTCCCGCTGCTTGGTGCATCAGAGATGGTAAGGTTATTTGTAATCCGACAACGTATTTGCTGTCGCAGCTCGATGAAACAACTTACAAATTCGCTTTTTAAAACGTCAAATCAGCAATTGTAGCAATATTTTGAGCACAAGGCACTGAAGTAGGGCCATTGCACAAAACGTCACACCGTATATTTCCTTTTGAGGCAGTGTCCTTGATGAAATTGAATGTTATGTGTGCTTATGCATCACGGCCAACGCTATCACCGATAATTTGCATGCGAATATAACCTTTCATCGTTTAAGAATAGGTTTTACCATTTCTGGAAATAAAACAGGTGTTAGGATGTTCAAACACTAAACAGAAGCCTTTTGCAAGGAATCACCTTTCATAGTGATATCCGTTTTTACAAATTCCATTCAACACATAATAATTCTATAATTCTCAATTGCCAAAGTGTTGTAATTGTTCTTGAGGATTGGGTTAGTTAATTATTCAACTTTATTTACTGTTCATTATAATTTGTTAATTAAGAAAACAAGTCTTATTGCAAAAAGCGATTAATAAAAGTTTGTCCATGTCCTTTAATTCCAGGATGGGAAGAGCAAGAAAGATTATATGCGTAAGTAAAACAGTTACTGCAGAGACTGTGTTTTTGCATTAGAGTAAATGTGTCACTTCTAATGAGTGTTACTCCGAAACGTTTAAGTGTTAAACACGTCGTTTTCATTAATACAATATCTGAATAAATGACTAGTTATGTCTGAATACTTTTATAATCTTGAATATTGTATCGCTGTCTTTACATTCACAAGAACACAATATAAAATGTTGAAGATAATGCAAGTGCTTGTGATGCATCATAGGTGTCCTCGATGCAGATTTGACAGACCTTCTAGGAGATGAAGGTATGTATTTATAATTAATTAAAGTGAGTTGTTTTGCTTTATTAAGCACGACACTTGTGTGCACAATTCTGTATGCTGTTTGAAAAATATTATGTTTTTGCATTCTGGATTTTGCTGGGTTTTTTAAAAGGCAGCTCAGTATAAGAGATATATCATAATATAGCTTGTATTGTCGATTATACTTTGGAATACAGTATACCTTTATGTAATTTATTCATTAAGATGATAATACAACACTTTATATTGCTAATAATAAGACATGTATCACTGGAATTATAGCTGATGATGATCTAAATAAATATCATTGTGTCAGAGTGCACCATTTAAATAGGTTGTAGGTTCAAATGCTGGCAGTGAGGTGACGTCCCAGAATTCTTCTTGGATCTATAAAATAAGTATCAATTTTGGGAAAGTTATTAATTTGCCCAGGAAAGCATCCCTGAGTCTCAAGACTTTTTCAGGAGGCTCCTGAAATTAGGCTGTTTGGTAATTTCAATTAATACGTGTTTCGTGCCTGAGACAGCAAAAGCTGTTACATAGCGCAATCTATCTTTTTACGAAACTGCGTTGCCAGTGGTGAATCACCACAAATAAAAAAAAACTCAACACAATGGTCAATAACACTGTTCTAGAAGCGCAATATATTGTATATCATTTACCTTGAGTTAATGATCCTAATATCTGTTTACTTTGAAAAAGGGCCATAGCGTGAAGCATCACATATTATATCAATTGTATTAGATAAAGGGTAGTACTATTTACAAATGTGTTGAGTATTGGTTAGACTGTCACGAAATTGGTGTCCACCATAGAAAGTAAAACTCCAAAACAGGGTTATAGCTAACAAGATGAGCACTACCTAACGTTCATTTGAGCTTGATGAGACTTGAATAATGATAATGTGGATGTAGAACATTTTAATATGGATATACAATGCTGTTTTTTGTTACATGTTTTTGCTAGATGAATCAATTAAAAAGCCCCCATCACGCATTACCCATGGGGGTGGCTCTGGAAGAATTAACACGGGTAAATCTAAAAGGTAAGATAATATAGGGGCTTTTTTAATGTATATTGTCTAAAAACAAAGATTCATCAAGCTGTCATCAAAATGCTGATAAACCTTTTGCATTTCGTTGTTTTAATTGATTTTCATGACAGCTAATGAAAGCATACTTGATGGTAACCAGTAGGAATATCATGACAGTATTATAGTTTTTAAGCACTATCCTCAAGAATAAACATGAATCCAGTTGCTTTTCGATGCACCCAAAAGATAGGGAAATAAGACAGTTACTTTGTATTACATTAAATTAACTTTTGATTTGTTCCACAAGTTCAGCATATGCTTACACATGTAGCATTTTCCACAGCATGACGTGCAGGGTCTCAGTGAATGAAACTCGTTCTTATGGATACACTGCATGCTAGATATTTGTGATTTGTAATTCAATGGATGGGTGTCTATTCCACCACTCACACGTGCCATAACAAAGGCTTCTATGTTAAACATTAAAGTGACTGATAACTGTGGAATGTTGAGTGTTCATAAGACCTCTTATCTACCCTTGGCAGTACATTTTTACTGAGCAACAGTCAGAGGCGGAGCCAGGATTTTGACTTTGGGGGGGCTGACTTCAATATTCTGAGATATCCAGTGTGTGTTTTCCAATCGGCGCCACAAATGTATAAAACAAATTTTATTGGTTTTGAACGCGGAGTTTATTCATAGGTCGGAGCCGCTAATGTGGCTAATAAGTTCGATAAGTTCGAAAGGCTACCGCGCAAGCTGCCTGCAGGGCAGCACAAGGTGGCAGCCAGCATTTTGCAGCAGCCGGATATCCGGTTATCCCGATTACCGACTTTCCCAAAATTTCAGGGGGGGCTAAGCCCCCCCAGCCCCCCCTGTGGCTCCACCCCAGGCAACAGTGTATGTTTGAGCAGTTTCTTTATGCCATATAAATTCTCCTCTACAGTCCACCTTTCTGTGATTAATCGTTTATATCCATATGCAGACTAAATCTTGTATATTAAAGCTTGCATATTAATGGAATGGTGCTTTACAACTATGCCAATGAAGTTTTCTGTGATTTGTGTCATACAGCAATCCAGTTTCGCTGTTAGGTTTTATGCAAAAGATACATATTTCTTTTTTCTATTGACAGTAATAGTAATCGCATGTAATTAAGTGCACACTGATCAATGTTTCCAGTCACCACATGCTTTTTTCTGCATAACCACTTCCAAAATTCTTGTCTGTGTTTTCTCCAGTATAACTTGGCTTTGTATTGCAGCTCTGTGCTGGATGAAGATTTTTTTAGCAAGTTGGCTGCAGAAGCTGAAAATGATGAGCCAGTAAGAATTTATAAGTGCAAGAAGTTTACCATAATAATTTACAGTTCCCGATTTACAAATAGTGATGGTGCTTGTTGTTCCAGTGGGTGGGGTTTGTGCATTTAGAGCTTTGAGTAGCTGTTTTAATACCATAATTATTGAATAAGAATAGCAGTACTATATTTCCTACTCATGTTATTGTTTATCCTAAGACAAAATCATTGTGTGTTATGAGTATGTCAGGATTTTAATATATTACATGCATAAAATTTGACATGTTTTAGGCATGGTGTATATGACTGGTTGCGTTTGTGTGGCAGGGATCTGATGTCTCTGACGCTGATCCCCAGGCTGTACTTAACAAAATGGAGGTGAGAATCATCATTGGCTTAGACTAGTTAATCTTTGAAATCAGTTACTATATTTTTTATTCTATTTTGTTTCACTTAACTTTGCAGTTTATTTCATAATCATTGTGTTTAAAAATATTAGTATTAATCTAGTTTATGGTGTTGGCTCAGTCACCAATGATTACACAATAACCCAAATTAGTTTTTTTACTTAATTTGGCATGAATTACAAAGAACTTCATGTTTCTTTCTACAATGCCAAACGCTCATAAATAGAATTTAATAGGCAACCCAATGTAGGACCCTCCTGAAAAAAACTTTAGACTTAGTGAGATTTTCCTGTACAGTAGCCTCGCATTTTATGTGCATTTATGTAACGCAGTTTTGAAATAGGTTAGATTTACACTTATTTTTGTTATGCACGCACTGTTATTGAAATAACGTGCTCCAACACATTGGCCATGGTGTACAGAACGTGCTGCGAGCTAATCTTTAGTCAGGCAGCAAAGTTCAGTGGCGATGCCTGAGGTGCAATACGACAATCACAAGCGCGGGCAGCATCAGCATCTCCTTCTCTTCGCCATTTTGAAGATCTTGTCCACGTGAACTTTATCTTGTGTACCATTTTCCTACCAATGTCTGTTAAGCATCTCACTGTGTTAAAAAATCGTTTCGTTTTACTTCATTTTTTTATTTAAATAGGCTGTTCTATTTTTATACGTGTATGGTATTGTAAAAATACGTACTGTAACCAGTAAAATATGTAGACGAATGTTAGGTTAGATAGAGTGCTCTCCCTAACCCCAAAACAATTTCCTTTATTTCTTATAGGAAAATTGTTTTAATTTACGTGATTTTGAGTAACGCGCCGTTTTTCAAGAACACAACCCCCTTATAAAACGAGTTAGCCGTGTCGATAATTGGCATTTAACTGGCATTAATAGGAAATGGACAATACATTGCATTATTACTCATTAAATATAATGCAATAACCACAAGAATAGCATTTGGAGACGTACATTATATGTTTATTTTATTCAACTGCATATTTTAAATCATATGCAGGAAAGTGCAGGGTGGACTGTGCCATCTTGCAGTGGGCATCATTGGTTAAAGCACTGAGTGGACATGTCACTGCTCCAAATTTTCTTGTCACATTGTTAATGTGGAAAGGGCCTAGATCATACATGATCATGACCATTCCATAATCTGTGAACCATTGCCACTCAAGCGCTGTCTTCTGGCCAGTCCTGTTTATTCACCTGAAGAAGGCTACTTGTGTTGTGGCCGAAACGTCATGAGAATCTTATTTTATTTTTATTATTTTATTTCCATTCTACGTAACTTTACCGAAAGAACCAAGAAGATGAATCACTGCAGCCACGAAAGCTTTAAATCGAAAAATTGCCACACTCCTTCAGTGAATAATGTCCCAACCTTTTAATCTTTTCCCTTTTTAGACCAAAGATTGATGTGGGCAATGTGACCACTAACTCCAATTATCATTAGGCTCTTGTTCAACACTCGCACATCTTGTGAACAAGTGTTGCTCCATTTCTGCAGAAATTTGGTCACTGCCCCTCGGCACAAAATAATTATTTCACCAGTAATGCGCATACAGTAATGGTAACTGACCAGCACAAAGCAGTGTCTAGTAGATGTTCAATTTGGATAAGCTTTTTCATTTTAGAATACAACCGTTTCTTAATACAAGACAATACCTATATGTCCAGTGCATGTTTTGGTAAAAGTTTTTTGTCCAATTTTTGATCATGGATAAAATTAGAATATCATAAAATGTGTCCGCTTCTTGTCACACTACTGTATGAGTTGAAAGTATATATTTGTTAACATATCAATTGGGCCCTGTATGTTTTGGATGCCACAATATGTTTCCTTGCGATATATGCATGGTTACTGCTTCATCGGCTGATGAAAATACCAAATGTATAACGAACGTTTTTGTGGAACAAGAAAACAAGCAAAACACTGTTTTGGCAGGAGGGCAGCCTCAAGTTAATAGCAACAGATTTTGACGAAAAGATGTCAGTAAACATGTTGACCACTTCAGTTGATGTTGAGTTTCACATGCACATTTTGAGAATATGGAAACTCTGACAGTAATTTAAAGGTTTAGTTAACCATATTCCATATCTGTAAACTCATGATGAAAATGTACTTTGAAGCAAACAAAACAAAAACGTACACAGTAACTTCACACTCTTTAATCACAATATTCAATGTGTGTTGAGTATTAGCGACTGACATGAAGACAATAGAAGCAAACAGTATGTCTGCAATTGATATAACGTACGCATACAACAGCAGACCCTTTACAGAATTGTACGTGTGTTGTAAAATAACTCGAATATATTGTATTAAAGAGGTTTATTTTTATGGAAGGTGCCACGATGCATCTTTCCATTGATACGTGTTCGTATGTAAACATGTGTTTTCGATAACATATGTCGTATGCTACATATGGTTAGGTTTTGCTACAAGTCTTAATGGCCAACAATAGTACAGTATGTGATATACTTGTCATTAGCGCAGTATTGAAACCCATTATTAATGACATTATTTTTTTTATATTTTTATTATTTTATTTCCCTTCTACGTGACTTTACCGAAAGAACCAAGAATATGAATCCCTGCAGTCACGAAAGCTTTAAATCTAAATTTAACATTATATGAAGTCAAATATATAACAGCCCAACAATGCGTTATCCCTTTGTGTACAATGAAATGCTTTAATCCATGGTTTCAGTAAAATTTACTACCCTTCAGAGGAAGATTGGGTCAAAAGTTTCATTCCAACAGCTTGGTTAAAATTTGGTTAAATGCATGGAACGTAATTGAATTTGGTTGACTAATTATACAGTGAAATGTAGACATGATGGCTGTCTGAGTGACTTGCTGAACTGATCCCATACACCATTCAGTAGAGTTCAATGCTCAGCGTGGTATGACACAAATAGGTTTGGTCTGCTCTGATAGATTATTTAGCCTAGGTTATTCATAGGTTCAAAGCTGAATCTGTCTTATTTCCCCCCACTTCACAAACTGACACCGACCAGCACAGTGAAGTAAGGTCAAACAACCCCAAGATTGAAAGTGTGAAGCCTTCATTTAGCAGTAGATTAACAAAGGGCAGCAATTAAATCATTTAATTCTTCAACAATTATATATTTTTTAATGTGATTCTAAAAGACATGACATGACTCATGATAGTATTTCGAGATTAATACAGAAAGTGATTCATTATTAAAAGTGGTTTCATGATTGTCATGGTTTGTAGTAAAAAGGTTGTACTTAATGTAGTATGAAAACAATAGAAATTAGCTTCAAATATAGTGACCAGGTGATTTTAAATATTAACTTCAGGTGCTACCTATGAGATATTATGTTTGGGGATTCTGTCCATTGAGTGTGCCATACGTCTAGATTTATTTAGTGCGCTTACCATAAGATGTTTGCGTTATTCACAGTAGGCTTTTGCCAACATAAAACAAGACTGCAATATAAAATCTACATTATTTGCTCATTAAAGACATTTGTTTTTTTGCATATTTGTTACATTCACTTCCAACATTGATAAAAAAATTAGTACGATACTCTAAATCACCTCAATTATTATACAGGAGTTTTGTGTTAATAAGTCTTTCAAATGAATACGTGTTTTTTATTTGGCATGTAAAGGCAGAAGCATGCACTGGTAAATTTAAACACATGTTGCAGTGTTATGGCTAAGGTGACATGTAGGTACAGTGTGTCACATGGGGACAGGGGTCGAGAATCTTAATTCAAAAAAAGCACCCAAACCGTGGCCCTTTCCTAAATGCACACTTAAAGGGACGCTCAGTCAAGCAGGGAGTACATTTGCAGGACGCATGTGGGAATGCATCGCATCGTGTCTCTCTCCATCAACATTGTCCCATGCACAAATTCCGCAGTATGCCTGCAACATAAATACGCATATCGCGAGTGGGCTGAAGAGAAGCAGCACTGGCCAAAGCTGTAGCAGGCACACGGCCAGGAAGATGAGCAGCACGACTCTGAGCCATCGTCTTGGTTCCACCAACACAATCCGAAACATAGATGGCATGAAAAAGTAATCCTTCATCTTCTGCAGGACAGTCTTGCACTTGTATTCTGTCACACTGTGAAGGGCAATGTCCTGTTTGAGCACAGTCACAATGCATTGGCACTTTGTGGCATACCTTGCATCCTGTGTAATGGATCTGGACTCAATATCCCCAGCCGGATTTTCTTTGTAGAAGATATAAATCATCATTTCATAAAAAATCCCAAAATATGAACGATGATCGGCTTTGAAATGGGTCTTGTGTTTGTTTGCGATTGATGCTTCTCCAGCTGTTGATTTTGCAGTGTCTGGCAGCTGGCCAGCATTTTCCCCTGCCAGGGCCAGCACACTTGTGGGTTGATGGGGAGAGGCATCCATTGCAACACCACCGTTAGGCAACTCGTGAGGTCAGCTCTGAAAATGATGCATATCAGAATTAGAATCTTCATTTAGACTGTAGGAGGAATCCAATGAGCTATGAGGCTCTTTTTTACAGATGTCCAGTCAGGGCGGGTCAGAAAGTTACAACAGCAATACAATAAACTGATAGCAGTGTAAAGTATAGGAAAGGTAAGCAAGTAACTAAATAGAAATAAAGTACATAAGCTTGGGCAAGGCAGCAAAACAACAGTCCCAGACGACAGCCAGACAACCTACAGTCCCTCAATAAATTTGCACGTTAAAATGTTCCAAAAATGTAACTATCGATACACGGGTTCGATCAAAGTTACAAACCACATTTGCAAATGTGATGGTATCCACCACTAATCTTCTGCTTCAGGATATTTTTAAAGGAAGATTTACGATGGAAGAGAAGGTTTTTTCCAAAACTTTGGTGCTGCAACGCCAGTTTTTGTCACCTATTCCAATTCTTGTTCTTGGGGTAGTTAAAAGGCAATTCGATGTACATCTTGTGTTTGAAAGTGGAAGTAATGAATTGTCTAAATATAGTGCAGATTTGCCAAAAACAGATGGCGATTTTCTGAAATTGTCTTCAAAATAAGTAAATACCACCGAGGTTTTATTTCCAGTTTTGACCGAGTAAATATCTGTATCTTGGCTGCCTACACAGGTTACTATTGTTTGAACACACGTGTTTCATTTCCCAAAACAAATTTGAGGTTTTTGTAAAAACAAAATGTGTATTTTATTTTAATGTTTTGCTCAAAACATAAATTGCGTAATCTTTGTTTACTAATCTCATGACCATCTTCCTATTGTTTTACTATATCGTGCTTGATGATCAAAACCAGTTTGTCTTACAAGACATTCTTACAAATAGTTGAACGATGCAGTCCTTTGCCAACATGTAAACCAAGCTTAAAAAACACATCCCCATGCAGTAACGTACGTTAACCATTACAATGAATATACGATATAGTAGTGCATGTGGCACTTTATTTACAGTCCACATTGCCAGTTTATTTACAGCACCTATTGGATATTGCTTTTGATTTGATGCTAACAACACAGTAAGTCCAATGGAAAAAAAAGTCTGCACTTAAAATAGTTGCTTTAACTTATATACGTACCTTTACCAGATGGTGTATGCTCTCGCAGCCTTGAATACGCGTTTTAATGTTGCTGGACGGCTTGTGTGACAACATCAGTTGCTCCAATGCTCTGTTCCTCTGCTGTGGCGGCGTTCGCGCTATGTGGCTGGCGGTGCCCCCACGAACTTGAGCTTCATGGTTGCAGCCTATCGCGATGCATATTCAGTGGGCGTGTCATGTATAGCCGACCAATTGGCATTTGCTTGCCAAGCAGTAACTTGAGACGAAGGGACGGGTTACGAGAGGTCGTGTACGAGCTGCGTTACGGAGTTAGAAGCTTTTGGGAAGGGGCAGCAGCAGTGGGCTAGGGGGAGGAGAGTGGCTAAGGGCAGTGTAGACACACGGCAATTTTCCACTGCTCAAATAGCCCCCACCCACCACCGTTTGAGGCCCCTTACAAGGCTAACAAAAAGTGTTTTTGTTGAAGCCAGTGTAAAATATTACTTGAAGATAGGTGGCTTTTTTAAAAATCCGACTAGAAGTGACGTTCGGTGTTATGTTTAGTTGATGCAGATTGCTTGTTTTGTAAGGGGAGGGAAAGGTATCGTGAGTTTAAGAGAGGGGTTTGTGGTTGAGGGGGCGTTGCAAAGGCGACGCGTGTGTTTTAGAACTCCGTATTGCCTCGCATATGAGGATTCGGTGTATAATGGGGCCCATGATTTTGGAGATAACTCCACGTTATGCCTGTCTGAGAATAATGACTTTAATACCGTCTTAGGTTTATCCCAAAATAAACTTGTCCAATAATGAGGAATATTTGAGCATATTTTAGACATATAAACACATTCTTAGAATCATGAGTTACTTAACGTTTTTCAATTACAGAGATGTTTCTCTTTTACCACCTGTGTTGCTGTATTATGGTGATTTAACTTGTTTTACATTTGTTCCAGATTCGAACCCTAATTGATTATAATCAGTCACATGTAGCTCATTTAAATTTACGATGTGTTTCACCGTGTCAATTGTATTACAAAATATAAAGGACTTTTACATTTTCTTCTGAATGTGAGGAAGATATGTTTTTGTCTCATTGTTCAAATAGTACCAAGTGCTGCAGGGCAGTGATTTTGGACGCTTTTAAACTTGTTCACGCCTAACACATCACGGGTATTCATATTAAAACAAGCTGTTGGCTCTTAATTACGGTTACTTCAGAGTTAATGGGCCTTTATTTTACTGGGATTTCAAGTATATGTTAATTTGAAGTTTGTTAATACAAAGCCATTGTTTAAATAAAAATATGCAGAATTTTCAGTGTAAATATGCAAAATAGTGTGCATTATTTTAAAAGCTTGAACCAGAAAGTTATACTATTCTAAGTCCTAAATGAGAATACATGTGTTTTTTTAGAAAGGTTCAGGTAATCGACATGTTATTGAGTAAATCTATATGAAAAATAATATACAAATTCACTTCATATTTCACTAATTAAAATCCATACGAGTCTTAAATGCTATCATACACGTATGCGGCACATCTCTATACATAAAACCTTTACCCATATCTCTATTCCACAACAGGACATTGATGACATGGACGCAGATCTTTTTGGAAAAATGAAGAAAACTGGGCCGCCTGCCAGCCAGCATTTTAAAGCAGGACCAGGGCAACTTGCGCAGACTCGAGGCCCCAAGACACCTGTTCCGGCAGTGACAGAATGCACTGCTCAAAAGAAATCGCAATCCTCGCCAGCACATTTGGCTCCTGCGAAAGGTAAATCTGTTTAATTTTTTTACATTATTTTCTGTTTTTGTTGAAACAATGATCATCTAGCAGCAGCAACAATCGAACCCAAGGCAGTTCAATGCATGCATCTGAGCGGATATTTATTACACCTCAATAAACATTCCTAAACTTGAAATGGTGACTCCCAAATATCCAGAGTGGGTTAAAAATAATGCTGTAACCAGTACGTCACTGCTTTATCTTCTGAAAGAATAGACTTCCTTCCAGAAAATGACGCTACTTGGCGGTGTCACTTCCTCAAATTCTGCTCACGCCCGCAGGAATGCAAAGGTGATTCTGCATTCTCTGCAGGAGCCGGCTAAGAGCTTTATTGGTCTGTTTTCAGATGTTTACCGAAATGTTAAATCAGTTGATGGTCTTCTAGATTCTGCTAGATACTTTGATATGCTGCGAAAGTACTATAGAGTATTTAGGAAGTTAAGACATTGAAGACGAAACATTTTTTTGCTCAAAGAAATAGCGAAGTGCTTAGATCCATTGGTGCCTTGATCCACATTACCATGGTTGGGGCTAGCATTTCTATAGGACACTCACAATCGAGTTCACACAAATTGTTACTCATTGACCCTCGACGGATGGCAGGCTGAGTCAATCCCCGACCAGGTCTTGAACTTATAATCTTCCATTTGTCAGTCGCAAGCTCTGATCCCACCCGCACCTGGCTGGTTATGACATGAGCTAAATTGATTTAAAAAAGCGAAGAAACACATTGTTATTCTTCGATTAAATAAATAAATCAAACTTTATTAGAATGAGAATAGGTTTTCCCCTTTTTTCTGGCAACAAGCAGATGTTAAAACACCAAACTGAAACCTTTTACAAGGAATCATGTCGGCATTAACCACAACACTTGTGGTCATAATGCAAACAAAAAACATACTCTGATAATATATGCATTGTCTTTTAAACTGATTGGTCCACACCAGAGAGAGCTTTCTTTTTAGCCTAGTCTCGAAACGGTGTTAGACCAGAGGACACCAGAAGGCGTTTTGAGACTAGGCTCAAAAGAAAGCTGTCTCTGGTGTGGACCAATCAGTTTCAAAGACAATGCATATATTATCAGAGATAATGAATCTCACGATTCATTGAGTGTCTCCATAGTTCACTAAAAATAATACTCTTCATACATTTGTTGTGGGTTCTAATCAGGTGCACACCAAGACTGGGAGGCAACACCTTTTATTCTCGAACACAACCAACACTATTCAACGTTCCAAGATAACGATGTACATTCCAAGCGACTATGTACATTACAGGTTAACTACGTAAGGTGGTGGCCACCGTTCCTAACCACCTAACCACTTGAACGAATTCCCTATATGGTTGAACCAGAACAGCCGACACGCCGTCGTGCCGTCGCGTACTGAAGAGCGAAGATCGAAGAGGACGACTTCTTTCCCGGGTTTAACAGCCACGCTCCCTCTTGTCACTCGGCTTATATTTCCTGTGGCGTGACCACGGGCTCTGCCCGGGCTCTGCCCGTGGTCACGCCCCCTTCTCGATCCTTCGCGAAGAGTCTGGGTCCACATCACGTGACCCGCTCACCCCCTTCTGGGGGCCCCCGTGCCCCCTCGTCCAGTCAAGTGCCCCCTCGTCCCGTCACGTGCTCTCGCGAGTTCACCCAGACTGTTATGTCCTGACCCGACCTCCGTGACATCCGGAATCTGCCCTCTAGTGAGCCCTTGTGTATAGTACACCCACTGTCGCCATAGCACGGCCCATTTATGTAATTACACATTTACTGAAGCCCATTGAAATTTTATATTGTATGAACATGGGTAAAATAATGATAAAAATGCAAATTTTCACGAAATGCAAAGTGTATTGTCATGCAATACTATGTCACTAAATATGTAAATTAGGCACTAGCCATTGTCTACGAGTGTACAGTAAGGAAAGCTCAATAAGTCCATGTGTTATTAGTACGCAGCAGTCAAAAGCATAGGAGGAATACTATGGCGCAGTGGTTATTTCCCTGCATTATGAACGCAGCAACTACGGTTTGATTCCTGCACATGGCTAATGTCAGTGGCGAGTGGTATCAGAGCCAGGCCTGGTCCTCTTATTGGTCAAATCAGTCTTCATTAGGTATTTGGTGTGATATGGAAACTTTATCAGTGGGGAGACATGGGCAGTTGGACATTGTTCTTGCTATGCTATGCACACTTGTGCTGTGGCGAGCTTAGCTGGGGATCTCTATCAGCACGTGTAATCTATAAGGCTAAGGATATGTGTGTGTATTTGTATCTGTAATTTGCATTGTGTTGTTTTTGAAACAGTGGTTGAGGACGGTCAGAAGGGAATCTCTGGTTCACCTGCCATTCCTGCACATCCATACAAAAAATACAGTTTTAATGGTAAGGACATTATACACTTATGTCTGCAAAGCTTCCTTTAAAATGCATTTAAGAGGACATTGCAATTCAGTATTCTGTTGCAATGTAATTTGTGCCCTGAGAGATGCATTCCTGGTGGCATCACAACCATTCACTCTGGCTCACCTGAAGCCGTTGAATGGATTGCTAACCTCAACATAAAACTATAACTGCTTCCCCAGCCATACGAAGAAGAAGTTATGCATTGTGAGCCCAGTTAAATCCACACACATCTTTATGAACTCGCTTCGACACTTGCCATTCTACTCTATTATCACAAGTTTTATTTTAAGAAGCCACTGGAGCTATGCACTTTTAAATTTAAATTGAAAACTCGTTTCTCTAGAACTGCTTTTTGTGTTTAGTTTGTTGTCCTTCCTCTGCACCTCCGATTAGCATGGTTGGCTATGTACGATGCGAAAGAAGTTCAATATACATACAATTTTCAACACACATACAAGCTATGCAGGCATGCACTCTGCAATGTAAGTTAGACTCAATATTTGAAATACATTTTGCGAAAAAAAGGATTACTCAAATTTGTTGTCATCTTCACTATTATGATCTTATCTACTTGTCTTTCGAGATCCACTTAAAGGAAGACACAGTACAAAGCATAAATCACCCTTATATGTTCGATGCATAACTCGGCTGTATGTTCTAAACTGCCTCAACAAACGTTTCAATAGCACCGATTGAGAAAAAGAATACCTTAAAGCTCTGGTGAAATCACTGTGACATAATTCCTACGTGGTTTAAATGGCCGGTGCAGTAACATCACTGTAGCACTGCCGACGAGCACCTGATCATTATTTTTTTTTATCATGAAGCTTTAAACTTTCATCAGGCAGCCCGGGAAACACAGTACACATAAGAATAACTTTACTTTTTGGCTGCTGTCTTTATAAAATTAAAACTAAAGGAGGATTTTTATAATAAACAGTTAATCACGTTGTATCAACCCTTCCTTTTGCTCTGGCGTGTTTCTGATTCCGTTATACCACTCTTTTATAGATGATGACCCTCTGGATGGCCTTTTATCGGATGAAGAGGAAACAAAAAATATGAAAGAAAAAAAGCCTCTTGAGACTGAAAAGGCCAAACCGCAGCCCAGTGATAACAGCGCGGCAAAGAACGAGTTTAACACAGGTTGCAATGCATCCTTTTTAGCAGGCGGTCATAGTTTTGTTTATGCATTGTGCAGAGTTTTGTGTGACGTATATTTATGTTATCTAGAGACAAAGCCTTTTTTGTTGTTTCACCATAGACACTGAACAAATAGGCGGTTACATATTCTAGTCATAGCGCATTCGCCGCTTGATACAGTGGTTTTCGGTTCGAAATCCAACAGCCTGACCTAATTAATACTGTGGTGTGTATTGACCATAAAAATACCGTCACTTGCTGCTGTTGGTATTGGTGCGCGTGTGGACGTGTGTGGGGAGCAGTAGTGTAGCGGTTAGCGCTACGAACCTGGCGACCCGGGTTCGATTCCCGCTCACGGCCAACACCAGTGACGATTATCTGAACCGATCCTGGGCCTCCCCTAGGTCGACTCAGCCTAAAATGAGTACCTGGTGCGGTGTGTAGTAAACATCGCCACTGAGGAGACAAAGGCGGTCGGGCATGGTGCTGGCCACCCACACCCTCGTGTACCGTTCCGGCCTTAATAAGTGCTCGCTAACCGCACTTGCCCCTACAGTCTGTTAAGGCTATACGGGGGACGTTTGTTGTGTGTGGGGAGCGGTTGTGTAGCAGTTAGCGTGCTGCGCTGCGAAAGTGGCTACCCGAGTTCTGTTCTTGCGCACGGCAAACACCAGTACCTGGTTTGGTGTGTAAACATCACTACTGGGGAGACAAAGGGGGCCGGATGTGGTGTTGACCACCCACCCCCTCCTATGCAATACCAGCCTTCATACGTGCTACTCGCTAACAGTACTTGCTCCTACAGTCTGTTGAGGCTATTACGTGGATCTTTGTCTTCGTGTGTGCGCATGTATGTGTGGAGGCAGCGGTAGTGCAATGATTAGCGCGTTGTGCTACCAACCTGGTGACCAAAAGTTAAATTCACGATCAACACCGTCACGATTATCTGAATGGGACCTGGGCCTTCTTTAGGTCGACTGAGCCTCAAATGAGTACATGGTGTGTTGTGTAAACATCACCACTGGGGAGGCAAAGTCAGCCGGGCGCGTCGCTGGCCACTCACCCCTTCGTGTGCTGTGCCGGCCTTCATAGGCGCTGCTTGCTAACAGAACTTGCCTCTACAGCCCGTTGTTAAGGCTACATGGGGGATCATTGTCGTTAGGGTATGTGTGTGCCTTTGTGTGTGTGCAATTGTGGTGTAGTTCCGACTACAAGCTCCATCAACTGATAATTTAACAGTTTTTTCTGTTTTATTTACTATTCAGTATTTTTTACAGTGTTACATGCAAATGTACAATATTTGTTCTTAATTATGAGATTAACAATGCTTCCCTTTTTCTTGAACTTTAACACATTTAATAACACTAACCGTATGGGCATTTAAATACAGTGAACTATTGTGTTCCGACTTGCGAACGAGTCTCAGGAACGAATTAGGTTCATAGCGCGAGGACTGCCCGTACTTAAATAACAATTTAAAAAGTTCCTGTCTACCCGGAGCTATTAGCAGAGTGTACAATTGTATGCGTGATTAATCACAGGTGAACTCATGCCAGCTACATGAGGTGTGCGTAAGTTAAAGCCATAATTAACTCTTGACTGAACCTGGATGTGCACACTCTCCTACATTCACGCTTCACAGCAGATTTAGATATAATTCTGTTGTATAACTCGACTACACTCGTGACCATGGCATGATGTACCATCCACAGCTCCTTTACCAGCGAGTAGCAAAAGACCCGTCGGAACTTCCAAACGTTGCGATGAGATCACGTTTGACGACGATGGTGATGATCTCGTGGATGCATTGGGCATGTCCGACAGCCCCAAATCAGTGAAGAAGGAAGCTAGCAGAGAAGAGTAAGCAGTTTTTTGTGAGCGTTACTGTGGAGGTGCTTATGTTTTGTTATAAACTAGGCACGCAAAAATGCACCCATTCCGTGATTCATATTTACTCTTACACTCACAATACGTTAATCAATTTAACACGGAGGCTTTCGCGGCCAATATCCAAAATAGAGGTTTTTGGGTTAGATCACGTAAATATAAATGTATCATTAAACCCGCCACCACCGGACACGTCCAATCAGTAAGGTTTGTCACGTAAATAAAACATGCAATTCGTTACTTGTACAGCACACCGGTGTGTTGGAGAGTCAACCCACAACATTTACTCTCCAACACACCGGACATGCTGTGCTATTAGGAAATTGGCATGTTATAGATATTAATACATTTCTGCGCGTAAGAATCAGCCATTTACTATTTAAGTAAATTATATTTAAATGTTACCTTCATGCTAATGGTGCAAATTATATGAGAATGAGACAAAAAAAGCTTCTTAAATTGAATTGAGATCCCAAATTATGACAGTTCATTGTGTTGTAGCAAGAAGAGTTAATTGATGGACACTTTTTTTATAAATGCATAGGACATGTGCCAGAAATGCTGCACATTAGTTTCTCATGAGAGGAAAACATTATGCTCGCCAGGCGCAAAGACAAAGTTCAAATTAACCCAGATGCCTGAATGATTAAACCCTACTTTTGTTTTAGTTCCAGGATTACACTGCTTTTGGTACCAATCCATGAATATAGAACCAAGTGTAAATTGAAGTGGTCCTTTGCTAAGTAAATAAGAAGTTGTGTTAGCATTCGTTTAACCCATGCTCTGTAAACATGCACATTCTTGGTGGGACAAGTCAGGGCACATCATTTACAAACCTCATGCTACAGAATGTCTCACTGATAGGCAAGCCTTTAAATAGCAAACAGAATGTTGAAGTAGTTAATTGACAAAAGTATATTTTTACACAGATGTCCTTTCATCGTGGTGAGGTTAAATTCAGCCTATCCTTAATAAAACTATGACTACTTTTTTGGAGAAAACAACACCTTGTTGTCATATGGATAGACTGCTCCTCATCATGGAAATAAAGAATTTCTACCACTGGCTCAGGGCCACTAACATAAATTAGCATCACATTGGACATTTGATTAGGATTTTTTTTTATCTGGCTTAAGCAGTGGCCTTGTCTGTGTGGTCGCCTTTTCAGAGATGACAGACGTCCGGCTCGCTCCAAGTTTGATGAGCTCTTGGGCCGAGGCACTGCCAGCAAACTCCTGGAGAGACCTGCTACTGGAGAAAGGAAGGATAGTGCTCAGCAGCAGAGAGCCCCAGGTCTGCAGATGGACTACTCTCGCAACACTGGATATACATGTACAGCCCATTTGTGCATGCACTCCTGGATGCTGGATGAAGGCCTCCCCATGCCATGCAGCCAGTGAGGGTTATATGACCATACCTCACCACACTGATCAGTGTGAGTTGTTAAAGGTGGGGAGGAGTACAGAATGATGGATTTTGCTGTATGCCTCTCTATTGCCCACAACATCTACAACACCTGATTTTTGTGATCTGTGGTCACCCTGCCAAGCAATATCCAGGTTTATTCCTCCGCTTTCGAGGCCTGATTTGATCAGGCGCATCCAAGGTCGATTTGGTAATTGGCTCACAACACTTGATACTGAAGCAACAACGTGTGAGATAATTTAGTACATGCGCATTCATGTTTGCGCGTGAAAAGGAGCGTCTGCTCAGCATGATTGTGCATCCAGCAGGGTCTTCCCAGGGACTAGGAGAGGAGGAGTTCACATTCGGTTCCTACATGCCCTCCGCTGCCTCGTCAGCCGAAGGCCGGCGGTCAGGCCCTTCCTCACGCAGATCTGTTAGGTGAGTATTAACTAATGATGAGACTGGCTTTCATGCATCATGCATGGAAATTATGCTTTTTGAGAAGGGTCCTGTATTGGGATGTTTGGCTAATTCCATCAATGGGTGTTTGGTATATGAGAAGAAAAGGTAGTGTTACTGCATACATGGCAGGAACACTGCACGCATGTCAGTAACACTCAAAGCTCCACACAGATGGATTTAAGAATCCACTTAATACACTGCCATCTCCTGGCCAGCTCACAGCGGAAGCCTTCAGCATCTGGTAATTCCAGGCTGTCTGTCGTCCAGGCAATCAAGAGAAAATGTCACGTAGGTGAAAATAAAATAACAAAAAATCACGATGTTTCGGCCACAGCACAAGCGGCCTTCATCAGGTGAAGGGACGAGACTGTCTGGAGGACAGCGCTGGAGTGAGAGAAGCCACGCTTAGATCACGACCTTTAAGCTGTGTGAGAAGAAAAACACAAAGCGCCTTGACAAAGGAATTAGCATATCAATTAGCATTGAAATGGCTCATTGAAATAGCTAAGTTAAAGTATACACATCCGCAGAGGTACCCCTTGACAAAGGAATTAGCATAGAATTTAGCATTGAAATAGCTGAGTGATTAGCTTGTAACTGGTCACAGAAATAGCTATGTTGTGATTTTTTGTTATTTTATTTTCACCTACGTGACCTTACCCAATAGAACCAAAGAGTATGGATCCTTGCAGTCACGAAAGCTTTAAATCTAGAATCAAGAGAAAACCCAACACATACCAAGGGATAATACTCGCAGCCAGGTTAACTTAAAGCTAATGCCTGCCTAACTTCTAAGATCTGATAAGATCTGAAGCATTCAGGTCTGCGTGGTCATAGAGGAATGAGTCATTATGAGAGCAAAACAAACAACAGGATTGCACCAGCATTGTCACATTACTGGTGGATTTGGTTAGTTGACACTCTTTACCACAATTGTAATAAAATTGGTGGAGCCAGAGCATAGTGAATATGAAAGCCTATGTGATATTCTTTTCCAAGGGCAGACTAAATTCATATCAGCGTCATTGTTCAAATTCTTATTTACCTGAAACAAAGTTTAAGGTGCCCATCCATGACTGTGGCTTTGAGTTCTAATCCAAGTCTGTTCTAATCCAAGTCTGTCTTTGACATAGACCATCATTCTTTCATAGTTGTTCAAATAAGTACCATTTTAGGAAGTCAACAGAAGTAATTCTATGGGAAGACCGGTTTACACCAAAATAATGTGGAATTTTCATCAGAGGAGAGTTCTTCCTGGCACTCTTATGTGTGGGTGGACATTCCATCTTAAAATAATTTTACATTCTGTATATGTTGACCTGGTGTAGAAATTTGTGCAAATGACTGCCAGCTAACGTGCCTAATTTCCTCAGCTCAGTTTGCGTAAGGACTTGGAGACGTGGTTGCAATAAGGCCTGTGACTAAATCATCCATAATGCTCCTGATCTCATCAGATCTCGTAATCAGGGTTGAGGCTGGATAGTATTTGGATGGGTGACCACCACACAAACGGATTGTTATAGGGCTTTGCAGTGATATGCGGTGGGCAGCACAGGGCAATGCAGCAAAATCCATTGTTGTATTCTACTTGATGCTTCCCAACTTCATTAGCCCACACTGGCCAGAATGGTGAAATATGGCCAAATAACCCCCACCATCCGAACTGAATGGGGAGGCAGTCATCTAGCAGTGGATTGACAATCGGACTGAACATGTCGTCCATGTCTCTTCCCGCGCATGAGGTTTTATGGCAACGACAACCAAAGAAAGGCTGAAGAAGCAGACATCATGGGCGGCCTGGATCGCGGCAGAGACAAGCTGTCCACGTCGGCCACACCGGGCACCCCAACCATCCTGGCCACACCACCACAAACCACGCAGTCATCCCGCGGCGGGCCGTCCGACTGGCTGGGCCTCAAGGGTGACTCTTTCGATGACCCCAAGGAGCCAGCGTCGAAACAGAACACTCAGCTGGGCACATCGAAGATGGGCGGTGTCGACAATGCTGTGGCATTGGAACCCATAGCTGTTACTCCCAGTGCCATTGGTTCTAGTTCCAGAAAACTCTCCTTGTCTGACAGTAAGCTGGGTGCCCCCATTATGGAGCATGCTGGCGCAGGGGCAGTGATTGGAGACGATGATGAGGATTGGCTCCTAAAGAGTCTGTCCAGAAAGAAGAGCCAGGTTTCTGCATTGGGTGATGATAAGAAGATTGAAGGCTTCCGTGGGTCCGGGGTAGATGCAAGTATCAGGTAACTGTGCTTAAAACTGCGGGTGGTGTTGTGATGCGGTAATGATAACAACATATATTCTTTGTTCTTTCGGTAAAGTCACGTAAATAGAAAAAAAAATCTAACAAAAATTTTAACAAAATACAAATAATAATATAACTCAGAATATTTGTAATCTGATAGCATTGCATGTTGTACAATAGTAATATTTATTGTTGACAAAACAATTTTATGGGTCTCTCTCACCTGAAGACGATTGCTAGTGTTGCGATTATAACGTCGTGATATTTTTATTTTTCTATCTACGTGGCTTTACTGAAAGACCCATATAATAAGTTATGTAACTTTAAGAGTATAAAAAAAGGAAATTCGTTGTAAAAAAGATGTAAAGAGAATATTATGGGCCTGATATGCAGGCAAAAAGTATGTAAATGCGGAGTTACGGGTCCCAGGTTGGGACCCGTAACTCAGCCCCTACCCATCGTGCTTTCTTGTTATATTGCACATTTACGAAGGTTCTACATTGAGATATTTGGATAATTTAATTTAACAAGGGTTTTTTTATGTAGAGTTAAACTGAAGCACCTACGGAAAACCCACAAATACGAGGGCTTATGCTGATGCACATGTATTGCCATCTTTTAGTCACCTCACAAAACTGGATGTCAGAGTTTCACAAATATTAATTTTACAAATCAACCTTTGCCTCCAAATTGTTGGATTGCAGACTTGCATCACTTTTCCCAATGTTGAACATTGTAGATGAAATAACTTTTCATAAACAGCAAAATGATGCACATTCACCTTTAAATGCAGTACACACAAAGACATGTTTGAGTGATTAAGCAGAATTAATTAGTTGACTTTCACAAAAGTCCAGCTTGAATAGATAGATGAGTCATGCCATCTTTATCATCAGCCATGGTCAATCCACTGCTGGATAAACGTCTCCCCAAATCGCCACCATCTCTCATGATGTAACCTACTTAGCAACTACACACAAACAGATTCCATAGCTCTATCTCCTTGGTAGTTGTACTCTCAAGAGCATTCTATTCGTTGGCTGCCACTGTGATTGTTTTTGACCATCTGCCATCATCTCTTACAACAGTGTGTCCTTCCCAGCCCACTTTTCTTAATAATAATTAGCCTGCATATTTTCACGAATCAATGAGTTCCTCTTTATTTATTCTAAATGTAAATTCAAGCATGCAACGCTGTTTGCTTCATTACACACTTTTCAGTCTTCTCTTTTTTAATGACCATGTTAAGTCACATATAAATATCCAAAAAGGTCCCATATAAACAGTAGTTAGTGTTATGAAATATAATTTGGAACATTGGAGTTTGTTCTTTATACATAAAATAATAGCAGAGCCAAATGTCAATTAGACTTATATGAAACCAGGCCATGCTATTCAATGAGTTAAGTCGATATGCATACTCTACAGGTTTTCATCTGGTATCTCGTGATGGCAGTGTTTTGTACATTGCTTGCATAGTGAATCTGGTTGCGTATCGTGTTTTTTTTTCTTGACAGCAAATCGGGTATCACTTCCAGCTCTCAGCATGACGACTTGCTGATGGATTCCTCCGCAGAAGACAGACTCGCAGCAACCCACAAAAACAGGTTAAATTCACGTATAGACACCGACGTTTAACAATACTTTAAATTGTATTGCAATTGGAGTCCCTTTATGATGAGTGGGATAGAATAAATGGTTGTCTTTATATACAAACATTCCTTTCGTTGTGAGCCCTTTAAACAATGCTAAAGCAAGAAACAATCTGCAAAGAACAAGTGGCTCTTCTTTTGTAGCTACACACTGGGGCTGTGTGTTCCAGGCTGGCTGATAAGAATTTGAGGTGTCCTGTATAAGGCATTTAGTTGAATTTTTTAAATAAGGTCATGTTGAAATCTATCTCATTACAGTGTTGAAACTTGGACTCTGACCGATACCTGAATTGTAAACGTTCATGTTAAATTACCATTGGGTCTCCAGCTAACAGTTCATACTTGCAACATTGTCACCTCTTAGCCTTCAATTCATGATCGAATCACTTGATTTATAAGGTCCATCCACTGCAACGCACTGCATTAGGATGAGACTGTACAAGGATCTATGGGATGACTTTAGTCATGGTAATGGGCAGGGGTAGCTGAAGGAATAATATTGTTCAATGATGCTGAGTTGCCAGGGGTGCACAAGCACACACAACGAAAAACGAAACACAATCCTTAACAACACTGTCTTAAAAATAAAAAATATGTCACCCTTTGAGCAATGGCTCCCCCTCAGAGCACATGTGGAGGGACCATTGCCCGAAGCGTCACCGATTATATATATTTATTTATGTATTTTCTCTTAAGGCACTGCTGTTGACGTGTCAGTTTTCCTTAAGTAATGTTGTGGGGAGGAGGGAGATAAGTTTAATGTCACAGAAGTGATTAGTACCGTGACAGAATAAATCCCATTCCATGTGTCTATTGGCAATACCTTTAAGTATTAATTTGGACAAACGTGTATGGAAAGAGAATCCTGCCTCAATGCTCAAAATGATGACCAGATAAATACACATTCTTGGTTCTTTCGGTAAAATCACGTGGAAGGGAAACAATAAAATAAGACAATAAAATGTTATTGTTTCCCTTCTACGTGACTTTACCGAAAGAACCAAGAATATGAATCCCTGCAGTCACGAAAGCTTTAAGATAAATACACGTGAATATCAGACATTTTACAGGATTACTTTTTCAATCGGAGATTGTGGCATGAGTTCAAATAACACTGAGGATGGTGATGTCTGCCTGGGTAAATGCGATATCTTCACTGTGTCCAGATACACATGTTTACGTGTCCTCACTATTGGGGGATTTTTAGACTCACTATGCAATGGAACTTTATGTTTCACAGAAACGATTCAGCTACACCTACTCTGGTGTCCTCATCAAGGAGGGAGCATTTAAACGGTCATGATGCTCGCATTGCAGGTTTGTGGACGTCGGAGATGAATCTTGCTTTCCATTTATTTCCATCCATGTGTCACTGTGTCATCCTCTTTATGGGCTTTTTGTCTCATTAATACTTTTCATTGATAGAGTGTATCGTATGGAGGGCCAATATGCCAAGAAAAATGCAATATTTTTTTTCGGTTCAGTTATTGATTCCAAAGTAAATAATTGACGTTCCATAAATTTCGTTTACTTCAGATTTTATTGAAATATAAAGCTGTTTAATCTTGATTTGAAGCTTTCGTGACTGCAGGAATCCATATTCTTTGGTTTATTCGGTAAAGTCACGTAGGTAGAAAAATAATCAATAATAATAATGATCTATTATTATTTTTCTACCTACGTGACTTTACCGAAAGAACCAAAGAGTATAAAGCTGTTTTGTTGGTAGATGTAAAATTGCTTTCAATTAAATATAACAATTTTTTTTTTATTCAAATAGAGTCCTCACATTTGCAAATAACTTTGGCATTGTTTTATATTTCCCTTTATTTCACCTGCATCACCAATTTCTCTGATTTCTCTCATCACTCTTCTGGGACTGAATTCCCACAGACAAAGCTGATCCTTCCGTTCCACAACATGCAACGCACACCTGCCCTCGAACCACTCAGCCGAGCCTCCCCACCAACCCGGCCACAATTTTTCCTTTGGTAGCAGTTCAGGAACCTCCTCCTGTCTCCCACCCCTCTGAGCATCCTCCTGTCGTGCCAGCTCTTATCGGGCAGCCCATGGAGCAGAGCAGCTTCTACCATGCGATCCAACCACAGCTTGGGCCGGGCTATCTCTCACAGTCTCTCTTTCCTGGCAACCCTCTCTCCTATTACCAGCCGTGTGAGTAGTGCGCCCTGCACTAACGCCACTCGCGATGCATGCTCATGCATAAACACAGAAAAAACCACTAACCGTTGCTCCAGGTTGTAATCTATTAAGACTGTTTCGGGTGAATTCGCAGATAAATTTGGCATCTGTATGCTATTTACTTCAAGCGACGATCACAATGAGTTGGGAAAGTAGTGCAGCAGTTCACATGTGATTTCCAATTGAAATGTGTGAGCAGCAGTTAAAGCTCATGCATGATAGTGATTGTATCACGATAACACATATAGCTCTATACATTCATCTGCAGATATCTGTAATATTAGTTAATGCAGCTTTTTTTTAACAAACTTTTAGTGGAATATATTGTAACTTGGAATACAGTGTTCCAGCATATTTGCATAAGCACCACTCTGTCTGATAGCAATCACCACACTGTGTAGAATTATTATGCAAAAAAGCAATGAATACATATGGATAATAATATTTTCATAAATGTAGAAGCCACTTTTCTCAGTGTTAGCATCTTGTCTCTACAACATGAATGAACACATGTGCATCTTGTGTATGCACACGTTGCAGAGAGTTGTTCAAATCCTAGGGTTTGCCCATGTCATAGCCTTTAATATGTGAGCAATAGGTTATTCATGCGTATGTTGAACAAACTTTGCTTTGTTACCAAATTGAAAATGCAGGCGAATTTTTTTCTCTCAGGGAGAATGTAGCCTTTGGGCAGGGTTCAATGAAACTGAAACACTTTTTCTTTTTATTCTGTGAACTTCTTTTTCACTTTCATTCTTCCCCATTTGGCTAAGTGACACTGTGTTTTTATTTTATAATGAAACAATGCTTCTGTATCCTCTTACTTTAATAATGATGTTTGGCAGGTCAACAAGCAGCACATCTAATGACACCACAAGCACATGGACAAGCTATACTGGTACAAATAACTGTAATTTTCTTGGTCACCATTTTAAATAATCGATGCCCCGATTCATCAATACAATTTGATTCTGGAGCATGATATATTAATCAAACCACGAGAAGGAATAATTTTTGACTCATATGTTGTATGTAATGATTTTGTATTACCCCTTCAGCTACTAGAGGTGATAAATTCAACACTTAAAAAAACTATTCTATTCTTAAACAATCTTTGACCCTGAATCGTTATGACTCATTGTATCTCGAGGGGAGAGAATCATTCAATTATTTCTGCACATCAGTAACTTCAGATTTCAGATTGTGTGAATGATAAATGCATCCGCTGGTGTGAAGATAATGTGGTTAACTGGGTTCAATTCCTGACTCGGACACCTTTCTGCATGGAGTTAATATATTATCTGGTTTTCTCCCATAGCTAATATATATAATGCAACTGGTATTGGCCAAACATCTCAATGCTGAAAATGTATCTGCAATTTATTCATTTAACATCGTTAATTACTCACAAAAGCAACATGATTACTCCCCGAGCAACATCAACTCCTAATGCGAAAAACATGGCAGGACCATCCTGAAAACAAAGCTTGAGATTCTGAGGCTTTTCTGGGTGAATAAGCATTATAGTAATACTGTAATATAATTAACTAGGTTTTTTTTCGCAGGGACAGGCTGTCGGTCAAAGCTTTATTCAGACTGATTCATCACAGCAAACTCAAGCCTTCACCATAGAGCTGGATACAAAGGTAACCTTCCTGCATTTAACTGTGGTGGGTTCTGAGTATGAATTTAATCACTGATCATTATATTTAAAACTAGATGAAAGCACATTACGGTGCATCAGCTTTCTGTTACAAGGCACAGGGTATGAAAGTGTAAGCTTAAAAGATCCATCCACTCATATCTTCTGATTAACTGCATTATTCGTTCTCTGGTGTGTCGTCGGGTTGTACCGCGTGTTTTTTGGCATGATGTGCGGAGTTTCGCTCTGTGCTGGGAGTTTTTTCAGCGAAACGTCAGACATTGCATCAAACAACATGTGGTACCACCTAAAAACACATGTATGTATGTAGTATGTGTGCACATCTGCTCAGCATTAGTCAATGGCTAGATGATGATAATTTACATTTACTGATGCTTTCATTTCCAAAGAAATTGGCATCTTCTTTGAATCATCATCTTTGTAAATAGTCATACATTTTCCATTTTGTTTGTTAAATGGATATTGTTTTTGATTGAATATATTTTTTACATTGTGAAATTAGCATTTAAAAAACTGAAATCATTAGCTGCACTGGATCAGCATGAGCTGACTAATTGATAGTTTGTACGTGCCAAAATATAGTAATTACATAATTATATTTGCGACTAGAATAAAACTAATTTAAAAGTGCAAATTCTACATTATCATGGTGGGTACCAAGTAACACCACTGTTCACTTTTTATAAAGTGGTACAAAGTTTATTCACCCCTAAAAAGATGATGAGCTTAGTTAACCCCCGACCAGCGTTTTTAACTTGTAACCTATTCTACCAGACGTCAAATATATGTTTCTACTATAATGGTGGCACATTGATTCCTGCACTATGAACCTCTGCGTCCTGATTTCGATTCCTATCAGCGGCGAGCGATATCTGAACCGGTGCTGGGTACCCCCTGCACCAACTGGCACTGACCAACATGGAGTGGGGGATGCTTTCTGTCACCATGGGGTTAACAAAGGGATGAATTATTATGAGGCAGCATTAATGATGTTAAGAGGTGAGCTTTTTATATCTGCGGATAGAATTCGTGTTACATATGTAACCAATGTACACATTGCACAGAACAGCCAGGGGTTTTGTTATTGCTTCATACATGAATACAGCTGCCACAGCAGCACTGCATTGCAACCACCATTTGTGCCCAGCAGATGCGAAGGCTGCAGATGGAGCGAGACCAGCTCAAGTCTCTCCTGGACACCGTGCAGCAGAGACACAAGGAGGACATGGACATCTTGGAGGAAGGGCACAAGTGGGTATTTAGTCACACTAAATATATTTATTTTGATGGCCTTCTCCCGCACCTCTGATTAGCACGGTTGGCTATGTACAGCATACATACATATACAACAACATACATATGTAAAGACGGTACGGAGCGATAGAGGGAAGGTATGGTTCCCCGGGACCATGGACGTGCTAATGATGATTGATGGGACAAGCGTTGACAGAGTCACGTGAGGGGGAGCACGGAATCCAATGGCGGGAAAGTGTAATAAGGACGGAGATTGATAGAGCCAGGTGCGGCGAGGAGAATTCTAGAAAAGGGGCTAGGCCGGACCGGGCGAGGGATAAGAGCCGGCACGAACCGGACCTGGAGGGCTGTTGGTGTGGGGAATCGCCGTCGTCGCTTTGAAACGGGTCGTCTCCATCGTCTTCAAGTTGTCTTGAGACGAGAAGCTATTTCGATTTAAAGCTTTCGTGACTGCAAGGATTCATCTTCTTTGGTTCTTTCGGTAAAGTCACGTAGAATGAGAATAAAATAATAAATTGATAAAATAAAATAACACAATAATATTCTCACGACGTTTCGGCCACAACACAAGCGGCCTTCATCAGGTGAAGGGACGAGACTGTCTGGTAGGACAGCGCTGGAGTGAAAAAACGCTCAGATCACGACCTTTAAGCTGTGTGAGAAGAAACAAAGCGCCTTGACAAAGGAATTAGCATATAATTTTAGCATTGAAATGGCTGAGTGATTAGCTTGTGACTGGTCACAGAAATGGCTATGTTAAAGTTAAAGCATACACATCCACAGAGGCACCCCTTGACAAAGGAATTAGCATAGAATTTAGCATTGAAATAGCTAAGTTAAAGCATACACATCCGCAGAGGCACCCCTTGACAAAGGAATTAGAATAGAATTTAGCATTGAAATAGCTGAGTGATTAGCTTGTAACTGGTCACAGAAATAGCTATGTTAAAGTCAGAGCATACACATTCACCGAGGCACCTAGTACAAATCAAACAGGAGAAAGAACCAAAGAAGACGAGAAGCTATATATAGAGTCGTCTAACTACCCACGTGTACAGAGTCACTCGCGGTTACTCGTTGAGTTGTCAGTGGACTTTTTTCATAATAAATATACGGAAAGACAAGACGGTGTCTCTGAGGGCTACATTACACATATATAACAACTATGAATTGTAATGCCTTAACTACATGCTCAGCTGATTACCTTACTTACCTGCTTGTTCACCCATCTGTCTACCTGCCATCCACCTATCCACTTGTCTACCTATCTACCATATACTTTTCTAGCAAACTACATTGCCACCCACCCACCCACCCACTTATCTACATATCCACCTACCAATCTACCCATCCATATATCTACCTAAATACCTACCTACTCACTTCTCTGCCCATTTACCTTTCTATCTACTATTCTACCTACCAATCTACACACCCTCCAATCTACATGTTTAGAAAATATTCCTAAACATTTCTACATGCTAAGTCACTTTGAGCTATCATTTGTGGCCAGGCCGCTTCTGAAAAATAGATAATAGCACAGTGAACCTTACCTGGTAAGATAAAAGATAGTTTTGTTTTATTTGTAAATGTTTAAAAGTGATTTATTTAGTTTAACACGTAAGCTCTTGTGAGCAATATCATTCATAATACATTTTTTTGGGGTTATTAACGTAAATATGAATGTGTCGTTAAACTCGCCAACACCCGACACAGCGAATTAGTAAAGTTTGTCACGTAAACAGAGCATGCCAATTCGTTACTCATCTAGCACACCGGTGTGTAGGAGAGCAAATCCACAACATTTACAATCAGAATACGACGTTTCGCCAGTAATTACACCCGACATCATCAGGCGGCAGCCAGATTTGTGTAGAAATCCTATTTCGTTCCTTGAATAGACAAACGGATGTGATGACGTCACTTGTGAGCCCTTCTTGTGTGAAGTGGTGGGGGGTTTAATGAATGCATATAAATTACAATGCTGATAAGGGCCGATCAACTGTTGTAATGCCCCATGAGGATTACAATAATAAAATCAATCATTTACTCGAAGGTACCTATCTTAAAATTAAATGAGACCCAACCAACACCTGGGAACATAACACAATGACAATCATTGCTAAGTCATCAATTCCCAAGAAAGAGCAATACCTGATCAAACTAAGGGCGTCAAAAACACCAAGACTTTATGGGTTACCAAAGATTCCCAAACCTGATGTCCCATTAAGACCCATAGTACAATAGGCTCTGCCACATACTTATTAGCACAATATGTAATGAAACAAATACATCCCAACATCAGTAGAACCTCTTCATTAAAAACTCATAACATTGCAAATATAAGGAAAGATATTAAGCTTAACTAACCTTGATATTCTCGTAAATTTTGATGTGACTCCCTGTTCACGAGGGTTCCGGTCAACGAGTCAATTAAATTAATCGATACTCTGGTAACGAACACAAGTTTAGCCAAAGAGATCCCAAGACTAGCTGACCACTGTCTAAAGAACACCTATTTCTTGGTGATTTCTATAAATAAAAGGAAGGAGAAACAATGGGCTTTCCTTTGTCTCATGTGATTGCGAATTTGTACATAGAAGATTTTGAAGCAAAAGTAATAGCTTCAAGCACACTAAAACCCTCTGCTTGGTTTAGATATGTGGATTAGTTTAGTGGTCTGGCCACATGGCTAATATACACTCAACGAATTTCTAAAACATCTCACCTCGTAAAAACCCGTCCATCCAGTTCATTATCATGGAAGTCAAAGCTGACAGAACTCTCCTATTTCTGGAAATCCTCTCTCATCAAGATGCTCATACATCGGGCTAAGAACGTGTCAGATAGTGATAGTTTGAGAAGTGGAATTAAAAATGTTAAAGAAGCGCTGCAATTGAACGATTTACAATGAATTCTAGATTTGAAGCTTTCGTGACTGCAAGGATCCATACTCTTTGGTTCTATTCGGTAAAGTCACGTAGGTAAAAATAAAATAACAAAAAATCACGACGTTTCGGCCACAACACAAGTGGCCTTCATCAGGTGAAGGGACTGAACCTGTCCAGAGGACAGCGTTGGAGTGAAGACAGCAAGCCCAGGTCGCGTCCTTTAAGCTGTGTGGGAGGAAACAAAAAACGCCTTGACAAAGGAATTAGCATAAAATGATGTAGTGGACCGGCACGGTGGGGGGAGGGGGAGTTTACATAATGTTGGTGTGAAGGCAAATAAGCTGCTGTGAAAGTTTGGAATACCACTACTTGAATAAATATACTGTACCATTGAAAATTAGTTTAATGTTTGGTTTGATTTAGAACATCTTTCCAATGATTGGTTAATTTGAAACCATCCTCTCGGTTGAAATTGTGTCTGTGTTTGTAAATCTGAATTGCCTCGTGGACAAATCTCTGATAAAAACCCGTGGGTTTGCAGAGAACCTTGGTATCGGAGAAAATTATATCGTGATCACCCACAGCGTTGTAACAGTGATCAGCTACGGCAGAAGAATTCGTTCTGCCGTGTTTCAAATCTGATTTGGGCTCGCGAATTCGGTCAATCTGTCTACAGGAAACCCACCCACACAGATTCCTACTTGAAACCTGAATCCCACCACCACCCAGCTCAAAAGAATGATCTCATCAAAACGTTATACCACAGGGCACATTGCATTTCGGACCAACACCACCTGACCAGTGAATTAAAACATGTACACCTGGCCCTCAAGAGAAACGGATACTCTGACCGTACCATCCACCAAGCTGTTTCTCCCTCCATACAGAAACAACCACTTGATACTCCGGTCAAAACCATCACACTACCATATATAGCAGGCGTTACTAAAAAGATATCCAAAATTCTAAACAAACACAAGATCCTGGTCCGGTTCAATACAGTACACAAAATCCGTGACCTGATCCCATCCGTGAAGGATGTCGTTCCTGACTTACAGTACCCCGGGGTTTACAAACTGAGCTGCACCTGTGGTGACTGCTATATCGGGGAGACGAAACGACATGTCTCTGACCGAATTCGCGAGCACAAATCAGATTTGAAAGACGGCAGAACGAATTCTTCTGCCGTAGCTGATCACTGTTACAACGCTGTGGGTGATCACGATATAGTTTTCTCCGATACCAAGGTTCTCTGCAAACCCACGGGTTTTTATCAGAGATTTGTCCACGAGGCAATTCAGATTTACAAACACAGACACAATTTCAACCGAGAGGATGGTTTCAAATTAACCAATCATTGGAAAGATGTTCTAAATCAAACCAAACATTAAACTAATTTTCAATGGTACAGTATATTTATTCAAGTAGTGGTATTCCAAACTTTCCCAGCAGCTTATTTCCCTTCACACCAACATTATGTAAACTCCCCCTCCCCCCACCGTGCCGGTCCAGTACATCATTTTATGCTAATTCATTTGTCAAGGCGTTTTTTGTTTCCTCCCACACAGCTTAAAGGACGCGACCTGGGCTTGCTGTCTTCACTCCAACGCTGTCCTCTGGACAGGTCCAGTCCCTTCATCTGATGAAGGCCACTTGTGTTGTGGCCGAAACGTCGTGATTTTTTGTTATTTTATTTTTACCTACGTGACTTTACCGAATAGAACCAAAGAGTATGATTTACAATAATGCACTGAAAGCCAAAACCAAATCAAATAACATGAGTGTTGAAACTGGCCAAGTAATTAAAACTATTAAAATACCATACATTGCAGGAGAAACTGATAAAATAGACAGATTTTTTGAAAAACAAAACATCCGAGTCAGATTTGGCACAGTACACAAAATACAGAAATGTATATCTGGTACTAAAAATGTATTACCGAAGCTATAAACAGAAAGTGTGTACCAGATTAATTTCTCTTGTGGAAAATGCTATGTTGGGCAGACAGGACGAATGATCAGCACGAGACTAAAAGAACACCAAAGGAATGTTAAATACTCCCAAGTACAACTGTCGGCAGTGGCAGAACATGCGTACCAACAAGAATACCCAATTTATTTTCATAAAGCTGAAGTTCTGTGCAAAACTAGTTAATACTGGCCAAGACTAATTCGATAATCTATCGAAATTGAGAGAAATAATAATTTTAACCGTTCGGATAGCTACAGACTTAGTGCTGCTTGGAAGCGAATCATCAAATAATACATTCTTTAAATGCATGCCTATACAGGTCACCATTCGTCAATGGGCAAACAATAACAGGTACTGCTATTTTAGTGAACACAAACGACAGGAGGTACAAGAACAATGTGCATGCATAATGTACATTGATTACCATATAAATAAACCAACCGGTAATGAATACCCATTGTAATTTATATGCATTCATAAATCCCCCCACTTCGTAGATGTCACAAGTGACGTCATCACATCTATCCCTCTATTTAAGGAACGAAACAGGAGGATGATACCAGTTGTAATTACTGGCAAAACGTTGTACTCAGATTGTAAATGTTGTGGATTTGCTCTCCAACACACTGGTGTGCTATTCTAGTAACGAATTGGGATGTTCTGTTTACGTGACAAACCTTAATAATTGGCTGTGTCGGGTAGTGGCTAGTTTAACGACACATTTATATTCATGCGACCTAACCCATGAAACCTGTATTATGGGTGATTTATTTACCTTTCCTATACTTTGCGCACGTATCATATTTTGTATTGTTTGTTGTAACATTCTGACCAGCCCCTACTGGACATCTGTGAAAAGAGCTTTATAGCTCATCAAATCCTTCGGAAAAAATAAATATTCCTATTTTGAGCCTGTGCGTTAAGATTGCATGAATCACCTTTTAACGGCAACGATTTCTCAGTTGCGTGCTTCTGCACTTACTCGGTCCTTTGCTCCAGCTGTCCCCCTCGCTTCTCTGTCCGCGTGCAGGCAGCGCGTGCGGCTGCTCCAGGACTCGTGGGAGCGGCGCGAGGCGAGCCTGCGGCAGGAGCTTGAGGAGGCGGCGGGGCGCCACTCGGCTCTGCAGCGCGAAGCTGAGAGTGAGCGCGCGCGGCTCGCGTCCACATGGCAGTGTCGAGTGGCGGACGCCGAGCAGGAGGCGATGCGGCAAGCCGAGCGACTCGCCGAGCTGCAGAGGCACGTGGACTCACGCACACAGTTTGGTTTGGCTCCTCCATTGAGGTTATGGTTGCCGCCACTGATGCTCAAAAAAACTGGGACATCTCACAGGAAGTTGAATATTTAAAGTTGAGTGAAGAGGGGAGAACGACATGACAAATATTATATTTTCTTTAGGATGGTAATACATTCAGGAGCTCAATGCTAATGTCAAGGTCTGTTATGGCTTCAGGAGAGCATGTAAAATTGATTTTCCTACAATGAAGGAGTGGAGACTAAATTGGTTTTCTGTATGGTCCATAGTAAGCATCTAAATGCAATGTCTCTTCAGAGGTGTACAATTGGTGGATCATACAGAAATCACTGTGTCATATAAGACTCCCAACCTGCAGGACTGGGAGCTGTCTAGGATATAGCAGCACAGAAAGTTAGTTCTTTGCCCATCTGTGTGGTTTTATAATTTAACCCTGCAATATTGATTGGTTTTCTCTGGGTACATGCAAAACTCTGATTCAGGAATTGGCCAAACATTTAAATTAACGTTCCTCTTAAAATAGTCTTGAGACCCATTGTAAGGAGTTTCCTGGTTTGCTATTTGCATCACTTCAAAATAAGCGCATGAGACAAATATTTGGGATATTGCACAGTATGGGACCTTTCTTGCCAGTATCAAAGTATAAGAAGAGGTTTTACCCTTTCTGGCAATAAAACAGTTGTGTTTAGATGTTCAAACACCAAACTGAAACCTTTTACAAGGAATCATGTCTGTATTAACCACACCACTTGCGGTCAGAATGCAAACAAAATACATACTCTGATTAAAAAAAACATAAACTGATTGGTGTGGACCAATCAGATTGGTGTGGACCAATCAGTTTCAAAGACAATGCATATATTATCAATGTTTTTTGTCTGCATTCTGACCACAAGTGTTGTGGTTAATGCAGACATGATTCCTTGTAAAAGGTTTCAGTTTGGTGTTTCAACATCTTAACACCTGTTTTGTTGCCAGAAAAAAGGGGAAAAACCTATTATCATATTTTGATACTGGCAAAGGAGATCCCATGATGTAATTGTAACTACTGGTGAAACGTCGTACTCAGATTGTAAATGTTGTGGCTTGGCTCTCCAACACACCGGTGTGCTGTACTAGTGACAAATTGGCACCTTCTGTTTACGTGACAACCCTTACTAGTTGGCTGTGTCAGGTAGTGGCGGGTTTTAACGACACATTGATATATTTACACGATCTAACCCAATTACCCTCTATTATGGATCTTAACACCTGTTTTATTGTTTTATGTTGTACCTGCTCACCCCGAGCTATAAATGCCCTGATAGTACAACTTTAGGAATAATAAACAGAAACATGTTCATGAGGAACGTGTTAGTAATGATATTAATGACCAAGATTACTGCTGAGCAACGTGATGAGCACCATCGGTGTAGAGGTTTTGCTAGCTGTGTATATTTACACTAGGTTGTTGGGGGGCTCCTATGGCGCTCCCCCAATAACCTGGTATTCATCGTGGAAAGATAGATCAAGTTGTGCGCTTACCAACGTAATGGAACGTCTGTCCCTGCCACTTGTTGATTGTGATAGCGTATACGGCGAGAATGGGAAATTGTCATCATCGCAAAACAAATGGCAAAGTGGTGTTGGTAGGGGCCAAGTCAATTCTGGGAATGAACACCGAATCGCCTCAAGCGTCCATCATATTCATCATAGACAGATAGAGAAAGTTGTTTATATATAAGTATTATTTTACATCTGAAAGACTTCATTGAAAACGACATTTCATGTGAATTTTCTCTCGTCGTTAAGTAAATGTCCTTGCTGGGGGTTCAGTTCGATGCGGACTTTCACCTGTTTGGGATTGCGGGATCGAGATAAGGCGACATAGAGCTGGCCAAGCAAGAAGACCGCCGTCTGCAGATCGATTCCAACGTAATCGAACGTCTGTCCCTGCGCCTCCGTCGTTCATGCAGGGGGTGTGTGGGTTTGCAGCGTCCCCTGCATGAAAACGACGGGAAGTGCAGCGTTCATCATATTCATCACAGATAAATACTCTTTGGTTCTTTCGGTAAAGCCTCGTAGGTAGAAATAAAACTAAATAAATCATGACGTTCCGAACACAACACAAGCACCCGTCTTCAGGTGAAAATCGCGATAGCCGCGGTGTCTGCTGCGAGCAGCAACGATGTCTGCTGCTGAGTATGAATTCCTGCAGTCACGAAAGCTTCAAATCATCAAAGATAAAGTTTCTATTACTCATGTTTTACATATTTGAGATGTATTTGTATTTATAAACTGCTTACATTTAGATGTTTATTATTATTGCTGTCAACATCTTTTTGTGGAAGGCATTCCATCATGGAGATGAGAAGAGATCACGAGGAACAGATACAAAGACTCAAGAGGCTCAAGGATCAGGAGATTGATGCAGTGACCAGCGCGACTTCACAGACCAGGTGCCGTGTGGCTCCCCACTTGTGTTCTGCACACACCATCATCAGCATGCTAATCACTATCAGTAGCATCATTCATACAGTACTATCAAAAACCCAAACGCATTTATCAGCACATGTACCTGTCCAGCCCTTTGTCAATAAAAGGCTGGGTGGGGACCTTCCCACGCCACCTTTTGGGTCATGAGCGTTGTTTTATCCTGACCCTGATGCCTGTATATTTGAAGTTTTTATGTTCTCCCCGTGGTCGTGTGGGTTTTCTTCAGGTTCTCCGGTTTTTCCCTCCACATTTATGCATTTAGAGTATTTGGTTGTAATACATTTCTACATGATAAACCACTTCGTTGAGCTATCATTTAGGCCAGGTCGCTTCTGAAAAAAGAGCTATATAGCTCAGTGGGCCTTACTTGGTAAAATAAATAAAAAACTTTGTTGTCCTGGTCAGTGCAGCTTTGTGAAAGCACTGATGAGAGCATAGAACTACAGTGCAACAGTTGATTTTGCCGCACTGCCTTCTGATACCCACATAGCGTAGCAGCCTATAACACTTTCTTGTGCATTTGGGTCGCCAATCCATGCACTATCCAGGCTCAAAACTGCTTAACTTCCAAAATCCACCAAGATGGGTCACATTGTGGGTGATTAAGCCTCATGCATATTATTGATACATGGTCATATGAATATAATTAATTTTATTTTTAAATAATGTTTACGTTTTTGTTTACATTTTAGTATTTAGTAGTATTATTTAATTGTTTTAAACAGTGCACAGAAACCAACATACGGAATTGGGGGAAATTGCCATGCAAAGCTTGCAAACATTGAACTTGACTGCAAATACATGGAAAGTAATGTAGCTGCAAAGGTTACAAAGTGCACTCTTTGTGTTGGTACGGGACCTCTGCAGTGCTGCACCACAGTTACAGTAATGATCACACAAGCTCGATCACTTATCGCTTGTTTGTTTGGAAGGCTTGTCATTGCATGTCACACTGGTCTGCTACTTGTTTTTAGAAATTCGTGAGTGGGTTGTGTACCTTCATACCTCATACTTGTATATGGACGAGTAAGGTTTATTTTTAAAATTCTTAAAGTCAAGTTGGTTTTGTTTTAACTACAGTTGTAAGTGAGACCACTCCTCCAAATAATGCTATTAATTTATATCCTACATTCTTAGCATGAGAATCAAATGTCACGGACTAAACCTTAAACTATGTGTCTGTAGTTTAACACGTTGGCTTTTGCAACCAATATCACCCATAATAGAGGTCTTTTGGGTTAGATCGCGTAAATATATAAATGTGTCGTAACTCAGACATGGATTTGGGCAGTGCTCATCTTTAGGGGTGTTACATTGCATTGAATCATAAAAGAACATTAATTCCTTAGCTAAACGATACGTGCGTTGAATCGCATGAAAAAGGATCAATGTTCTTTTGACTTGTACATGTTGCATGTGATGAGTTCATGTGACCTCTCCAGCCACTAGAGGCTGCCACATTCACCAAAGTGTTTAAAAAAAATAATAATCTGTTGAATAAAAATGCCATCCTAAATCAGAACATTTCTTAAAATGGCTATATCCATTGAAAGAAATTGATATAACCATAGGCATTAGTGAACCTTTAGTTTTGAAACCAAACTAATCATAATACATACAATTTTATATTCTTTGGGTCTTTCGGTAAAGTCACGAAAGGCCCAAAGAATATGAACTCCTGCTGTCACGAAAGCTTTAACTCAAGACGTAAAATTTTGTTTGAAAGAGTGGATCTGACTGTTGTCCACTGGTTGAAAATTACAACTTATATCCCAGATTTCCACTGCGTGCTCTACCTGAGACACGTGGCTTGCTTTGTCTGTGCCACATGGCTTGCAGTGTGACGGGAGCCCTCTAAAGCAGCGGTGATGTCATAAGGTCAAAGTGCAAAAGGCACATGCCATTAATGACATCTCTCATGTAGGTCAGCTTCAGGACTGTTTTTTTTCAAGACATTCCGAAAATAAATAGTAGATTAGCTTGAGATTGCATAAGCCCATCTCGCCATTGGACAACCACAATATATGTGCATTTTATTGGCCCTCGTTAAATATAAAATATCCTCGTGTCCCTCAAACCTTGGATAGAAGGGAGAGAGAGGATGGCAGGGATGGAGGAGAAAGGCTGAGCTGAGACGCACGTTTGGACAGAACCCCAGTTGTGCTGGACATCTACTGGACATCTGTGAAAAAGTGCTTTATAGCTCATCGAATTCTTCCAGTATAAATAGATATTATTGTTATAATTGTGGGAATTTAGTATGAATATGTAGCATACATGGGTACTTATATTTTGAAGAAGGCGGAACATTCATTAGGCACGAGGCTTGGGTGAGAAACCTCCACTAGTAACCTCATGTCAAGCCTGTCCGTCAAAACGTCCTGTGACTACAACCAAAGTTGGAGAGTTTGCAAGATAGGGTGAGTGGGCTACGTATAGGACATTGCACCTACACAATATGTGGTTGCTCTTGCTGGATGGCGTCAGTTTCAAATTTTTCCATGAATACTTTGGCTACAACCGGAGATAGGGGGGAGCCCATTGGGGTGCCCTCAAGTTGGTTTGTAGAAAGTTACATTCCAGGTGAAGTATGTGTTGGTTAAGCAATGTCTCACCAGGGGGGGTACATCAGTATGCAGTCCTTGATGGTGTCAGGTACCGGGACTTTTGTGAACAAGGACACCACATCAAAACTGACAAGCAGGTCATCTGGGGACACGGATATGCCTTTGATTGTCGATACCAGGTGAGTAGAATTTAGTACCGCTGAGGGCACCCCAATGGGCTCCCCCCTATCTCCGGTTGTAGCCAACGTATTCATGGAAAAATTTGAAACTGACACCATCCAGACTGCCACTCTACGCCCGACCTTATGGAAGAGGTACGTGGATGACACCTTTGTCATCTGGCCACATGGCCAGCCTGCTCTAGACCAATTCCGCGACCACATCAATTCCATACACCCAGCCATCAGATTTACCATGGAGGTCGAAAAAGATGGCAAACTACCCTTTTTGGATGTCTTAATTAAAAGGAGACATGATGGTTCAATGAGCCACTCTGTCTACAGGAAAGCTACCCATACAGATGCTTACTTGAAACTGGATTCCCACCACCATCCATCCCAGAAGAACTCCCTCATCAAGACTCTATACCATAGAGCCCAATGCATTTCCGACCAGGAACACATTACCAGTGAACTCAAGCACGTACACCAGGCTCTCAGGGCTAATGTTTACTCCGACTACACAATCCGCAAAGCCATCACTCCAGTCATGAAGAAGGATCCTCTTGTGGAGCCATTCAAAACCATCACCTTACCCTACATTGCAGGGGTCACTAAAAAGATCTCCAAAATCCTGAATAAACACAAGATCCAGGTCCGATTCAACACAGTACATAAAATCCATGATCGAGTTCCATCTGTAAAAGATGCTGCTCCAGACATACAGTACCCGGACGTTTACAAACTAAAGTGCCTCTGTGGTAGTAGCTACATTGGAGAAACCAAACGACATATCTCGGACCGCATCCGCGAACATAAAGCAGACTTGAAACACGGTAGAACGAACTCCTCTGCCGTGGTAGATCACTGTTATAATTCAGTGGGCTCACATGACATTGACTTCTCCAAGACGGAGGTTCTTTGCAAACCAACCGGCTACCATGAGAGATTCGTTCATGAGGCCATTCACATATACAAGCACAGAGACAATTTCAACCGAGAAGATGGATTCTGGCTTAGTAACCATTGGAAAGATGTTTTAAACCATTTCCATTCTTAATTAATTGTATTTTACGATGACCTTCAGACCGCAGCTCTTTCGCCAGCATTGACTCTTAATACCTCTCACACCACGGTTAATGGTATGGTTTACAACATGGAGTATAACAGCGCCTCGCAGCTGGCTCTCTCCCCCTCCTCTGTTCCGACCATGGATGAACTCGTCCATCTGAACGGGGCCCGTAGCTATCCGTGTTGCTAAAGTTGAGGGTAAGAATCCACCCATTTTTTTCGCCATATAGCATTGTGATATATAACGACTTATTGTTGGTAGCTTAGCTGATTGGAGAATATATAGAGTTTATTGATAACATTGAGGTAATTTATATTTTAGTTTTTTTATTGGTTCACTATATAGTATTCATTATATATTGTAGTGTATACCCAGTTACTGTGAATAGCTCAGATGTGTAGGCCTTGACTTCAACATAGCCATTTCTGTGACCAGTCACAAGCTAATCACTCAGCCATCACAATACTAAATTCTATGCTAATTCCTTTGTCAAGGCGCTTTGTTTCTTCTCACACAGCTTAAAGGTCGCGATCTGAGCGTGGCTTTTTCACTCCAGCGCTGTCCTCCAGACAGTCTCGTCCCTTCAGAATTCCCTGTAGGTGGAGGCTCAAACTGGAAATAACTCACGCTTGATACTCTCAATAGAGACTTCCAGAGAGAGGTTTTTGGCAAAACTGCACATACAAAACAAGTAAATATACTTTTTCTCACGAAAATATTCTTCGAAAAATAAAGACATAAATTATAATAAAGTCCAAGATAGAAAGGGTATAGAGGTCACCAGCATAACCACACGTCTTCTTTGGTTCTTTCGGTAAAGTCACGTAAAATGAGAATAAAATAATAAATTGATAAAATAAAATAACACAATAATATTATCGCGAACGTTTCGGCCACAACACAAGCGGCCTTCATCAGGTGACAAAGTTTTCAGGCTGCCTTCTTGTCAGCAGCCATGGCCCTTGGCTATATGAAGAAAAGTGCACTGGAGTCCGTTTACATTTGCCTCCTGTGCCAGAAAAAAAGAAGGCAAGACAGATCGAATCTGCTCTTCTTCTACCATGTGTTTGTCTGAGAGCTGTCTGCCTGTCTTGCGATCTCTGTATGAGTGATGGTCTAATATTGCACAGCTTGACTATATTTTGTTAACCCTATTGCTCCTCGGTGTTTGCGTACACAGCCGAAGAGAAACAAAAATTAGCATGAAATTTGAAGAAAACAAAGCCGGACCCTTATATGCCTTTGAACTAATATCATGCATGAATTAGTTTGGATAATATTTCGCCTTTAGTTATTTGTTAATTTGTCAAAATGTAACATTTGCATAAATGATATAATTTTGCAAACCCTGTTGAATTAATGTATCATGAGCATAACAATACATTTTAATCAATGAATCATATGTGTAGTGACTAACTCGGAGACGATAAGACGTGGAGGCACTTTTATTTAACGAGTGCCATCGGCATAATACACACCCTACGTGGGTACACACTCTACAATCACTCGCCTATACACAACTCTACATGGGTACACACTATTACTGTTACTAGCCTATACATAATACTAACCATCTAACACTGACGGCGCTGAACCGAGATAGCCAACAACTATTTAGCAGCGCAATATCGAGTGAAGACGACAGCAACGATGGCAACGAGACGACAGCGACAATGGCGACGATGGCGACGATGGTGACAATATTGAACAGCACGACGGGGATCCCACTCCAACAACAGCCACGAGGTCCCTCACAGGGGCCCTTCTTATACTCTCAGTGTGGCCTCGCTCCGCCATGGCCACGCCCCCTCTCTGGAACCTACTAGTGGGTTCCTGAGGCTTCCCGGTAGGCCCGCCTCTGTGACCTTTCCCCTAGATGTCCCCCTCTAAAGTCTATCATGGCCTGCTGACTGCAATACTGACATAAACCGCAGTTCCCCTTTTTTGCCAGCAGCCAGCACTATGCCACTACATATGCATACCAATCACTGTCCATGCTGCCCTCTTGTGAAACTTTCTTCACTCAATGTGATGGCAGACAGCGCCAAACACATTGTTATTGTGCCCTTGTCACATCACCGTAATGTAATTCCCACTGGTGCTCAATTGTTCCACTGGTTCCCAATCTCCCAAGTCCATTTCAGGATTAATTTCAAGATCCTCCATGCACTTGCCTCTGCCTACCTTTCCTCTTTCCACTAACACACATTCTTTTCTCCAGAAACCAAGACTCCTATACAAGTCCTTTACTCAGTGGAAAGTCACTTTTCTCAACTGCTGCTTGCATAGTCTGAATCACCTTCCTCCCGCCATCTGTACTGTCGACTCCTTGTTTAATTCACGGTTCATAACCTTCCTTTTGTCCTGTGACTATGACCGACTATGTCTATCTATAAAATAAATATGCCCACTTTGTCGGTACAGCATCTTGAAATGCGGTTGCATTTAAATGCAATGTATATCCACATGTTATTGTATTTTATATCCATAAAGTGAGTACCCAATAGCATTTCCTTGTCAAATACACTAGTACTCTAATCTCCCTAATCTCTCTCTCCCTAATTTTCCTCTCCCTAATCTCCCCCATTAACACAACTGACGTGCTTGCGTCCAGGGATGGAATTCCTTTCCAGCTCAGACCCTGCTTGATTGCCCATCACCACATAAATAACCTCTTGTTGTAACAGCTCTCTCGCTGGTTCAGCAGTTCCACTACTGGATTATTTTCCCGCCTGAGGACGACCGCTCGTGTTGCAGTCGAAACATCGTGATTTATTATTTTTTGTTTTATTAATTATTTTTCTACTTACGTGACTTTACCGAAAGAACCAAAGAGTATGGATTTCTGCAGTCACGAAAGCTTCAAATCAAGATTAAATACACTAGTGTCATCTATGCAGAGATGAGCAGTATCTAAACTACTACAATTTAAATATGTAATTTCATGACATTTGTAATTTGTATCTAAATTACACGTGACAACACTTAGTTGCCACTTTGTATTTAATCATATTTCCTCCAGTAATTTGTCATTTGAATGTATTCTACCCCATCCCTGCTTAATGCTGTCAGTGCAAGGATGTGCGCAAACATTGCCTGTCCTTCTGCTGCTTTCCCAGGTCCCTGAATGGAGTGATCGAGCAGATGGAGTCGCTGTCGGGCCGCATGGGCGAGCTGACGAACCGCGTAGAAAGCACGCACCACAGCAGCACGCATGAGCTGGAAATGGAGACGCGGAGCAGGACGGCGCAGCTGCATGGTGCGCGCATAACTCCGGTGGCGCTGTGGTCAGAGCATTCGGTTCGCAGTCAGAAGGTCACCCCACTGGAGTTAATTCAATTAATATCACCACGTTCTGGGAACTGGTCCCCATCACTGGTTTGGGGCTGCTATTGGAATGTTTTTTGGGTTTAGTTTGTTGTCCATCCTCCGCACCTCCGATTGGCATGGTTGGTTACGTACGGTGCGAAAGAAGTTCAACATACATAAAATGGAGATGTGCATGGCACCAATGGTTGTTTGAGCAGGGAGATGCTCTCAGTTGACTAGGAGCCACACATCTGTGTTTTTGCATTTTCTCAGGGTAGACCGACACTTATGCATTTTATTTGATGCCCTGTGAGCTCCATTGTCCTCAGACTCCAGTTCTCGTAATGTCTGTACTGTAGTCCAATAGCCAGATTATTTGATCATATTCAGTAATGCACATACAGTGACTATCATGTTCGAAAAGGTGAGAGTCCATTGAGAAAAAATAATGTTCAGCTCGTGGTCAGTCATTTTGTATATCAGTCTACTGATGATAACCGCATTCTCCCTAACAGTCTGTGTTGTCTACACATACTTGTCAATAGTTTGAAACACATCAGGTATCTCTGTCTTTTGTCTGTGCCGCAGAGCTGAAGGATCGCTTGGACCGGCAGCACAGGGATATGGAGGAAGAGCGAGCTCGCTTGCAATATGTCATCTCCAAGATGGAGGCTAGACTTGGCGAGCAGACGCGCCAGCTGGAGCAGGTGAGGGCTGCAGAAGCCGAAGTATCGCAGCATAAACGCGTTCGTCCTGCAGGGTACACAGTCGTGGAATCCGCTTACACGAGCACTGAGCAACACCTGTGGGCACAATATCCAACAGCCGTTGTGCCCGCATTGGCTGTGTTTCACACGAGCCAAAGGAAGGCTGGGTTAGGCCTGACTTGCTCGTGTTGTGGAAAGGAAACGCGGTAAGAATTGTCCTTCCGAATTCTTTTTTTACTTTTTATTCAAGAACCCAGAATAGAAAGTAGAATTTGAAAATGGGGAAATCATGCCTCACTCTTAAAGGGAGACACAACCCAAAAAACGAACATTTAATCTTGTAGATACATGTCTATAGTATGTGTTCCAGGCTGTCCGATGCATGTTTACTGTTTCATAAATGAGAAAAAATTATTGAAAATAACAAGCAATCACAGCACTGTCAAGGCTCTGGATTAACATGCAGTGACATGACTATACCTATGGGAAGGATGTCACAGTAATGTCACAAAATTGCAATAATAAAGTGCTTGATCCTGACTTGTGTTTTCTGTTTTATGAATGATAAAGCTTTACATTATTGTTGGACAACCCAGTGCATATAGCTCAAGTATTTATCTACAGGATAAGAGCTGTTAGTCTTTTGGGTTGCACCTTTCTTTAAGGCAATAGCTCATTAGCACCTTGCCTGGCCAGCAGGGTTGGGGAGTGCTGTAGGAGCACATGACCGGTACAACATTGATTCTTACATACACCACTTGATCCACGTGAATATAAGAATCAAATTTCATCCACGAGTAAATAAATCATGAAATGCCTATCGTGTATCGAAATTTGTTTATTCGAGTGCACACTTGTCAGGTTCATTTGTATGTACTGTATGTATGTTGAAATTATTTCACACTGTGCGCAGCCAACCATGATAATTGGAGGTGCGGGGGAAGGACAACAAATTGAACACAAAAAGCAGATCTTAAGAAATTTGTTTTCAGTAAATATGAAAATGTGCATAGCTCCAATAGCTTCTTAATATCATAAAGCAGAGTGTTACAGACAGTCGCAGAAGCATATCTGAAAGCGTGCGATGCAGTGACCGACTTTGTTCAATGGTTAGCCAAAAGCTGCTGCGAGGATGACTGGAGTATGCGTGATGGTTTATGCTCCTTGACGAGATCAGCAAGGTACTGTGCTTAATTTGTGGCAAGCACTTTGTGTGTAATGAGTGGACCTTATAATGTATTTGACAACCGGAAGCCAATGCAGCTTGGCAAGCACTAGAAGGACATGGTCGGATCTTGCAGTACCTGTCACGACACGCGCCATAGATTTTTCACACGCTACAGCTTGCTTATGTTTTTGGCAGACGCCCAGAGTTTTAAAAAGTGAACTGATGAAGCGGTGTCGCTGCAGGAACGCTGGAAGGTGAAGTCGGAGCAGGGTAAGATGGAGTCGCTGAAGCGTGGGCTGGAGGAGGAGCGGAGAGTGATGATGCAGCAGCTCAACCTGGAGAGGGAGGAGCTCGACCGTGCCAAGGTGAGTAGCGCACTTATGCGTAAACCCAGCGTACGCAAACGCCAGGTGCGACCAAGGTCGCATATATGATATCATTCCCATCTAAATTATTGTTAATTTCTCTGTCGGATATTTTCATATGAAAAAATGCAGATGTCTCCATTGCCAACAAAGGGGTAAAATCTGTCAAGTTATCTGTTTCGGCCATTTAGTTAAGGTGGGAAACATGCCCTAAACAGTGATGCAGTTGGTGCGGCTGCTGCTGGCCACGGCTGTAAGGGTCCCTCTACAAGTCAAGTTTAAATGACAGGTCAAAGTTGCTCCCTGCTTAAACGAGTGTGGGGTGGTGTTCATGAATGTCTCGTCTCGAGCTGCTGGTAGAAATTTCACATTCCTCTGTTGGGTACCAGTCTTTATAGAACAGCCACCGTTTTTTACAGTGGCACACACGTTCTTACTTACTCAGGAGCAATGATGGTCTGAGCCAAACCCTGATTAGAATTATAAATCGCAAGTGAGGGCTCTTATTACAGTACCACCTGGCTGGAGGCAAGTGACACAACCACACAGAGACCCCTGAATGTTGGGAGTTATGGTTAGGGCTCCCCGCTGTCACCTAAGGGCACTGTCATGGCCCTGCTATTGTTGATCATGTCTCTCCCAGGGTCCCAAGACGCAACCGTGCACTCAGGTGCATAATCCAGCCATTTTGAGTTGAGGATTGCTGGATCACATAGATACATAGTCTGTGTGAAACCCCTGCCTGCACAACACAGAGGTGGTACCCATAGGATGCAATACAGTAAGTAGGCTTATGACTTACCCGTGTGGAGTTTGAGTGTTCGCCCCTAGCACGTGCGGGTTTTCTCCGGGTGCTGTGGCGAGCGGTGGGCCGGCACGTTTTTGTGTCATGGCAGACGTTGCTGTTGAAGGAGCAGGAGGCAGTGATGGCCCGGTGCGGGGAGGAGCGCAAGCGCCTAGCGGCGGAGAGCGCCGAGGCGCAGGAATGGCGTGCGCGCCGGGCAGACGGTGCCGAGCGAGAGGCGGCACGCCAAGCGGAACGCGACGCCCAGCGGGAAGCCGCCGTCATCAAACTAGCACAGGTGTGAACGCGCGTGTGTATGTGTGTCCGCTGGCGAACGTGCGGAGTTGCCAAAGCATGATCCAGTAGCTGAACAGGGCCCATGTTAACAGTGTAATTTTCCTCATCATCAGCAGCAGCATCATTAGTGTTATCTTCATTTTATTCATATCTTCTTCCTCAGTAGCTTCACCTGTAGCATCGTTACCAATGTAATTTTAATCATATTTGTCATGAAAATTATAATTATCATTATTATCGTCACCTCTTCAATCGTCATTAGTATTACATTACATTTTGATCTAAAGCTTTCGTGACTGCAGGGATTCATATTCTTGGTTCTTTCGGTAAAGTCACGTAGAAGGGAAACAATAAAATAATAAAAATATAAAACAATATTATGTAAAACAATATTGTTTTACGTAATATTCTTTCGGTAAAGTCACGTAGAAGGGAAACAATAAAATAATAAAAATATAAAACATTATTTAAAACAATATTGTTTGATATTTTTATTATTTTATTGTTTCCCTTCTACGTGACTTTACCGAAAGAACCAAGAATATATAGTATTACATTATCATTGGTATCATCATGACAGTGGGGTTGGTGGATCATGGCTGAGATGGAGCCTGAGAGACACCTGCTGCAGATCATGAAGGTGCCGACATTCATCACTAGTCTCTGATAAGATTGTGTTTTCTCCTGACACTGATTTGCTCCAATGAGATCTCAGATTTTGAAATAAGAGCTAAGTCGCATTATTATTATGCATTGTTTTCCTGTATTTACAGAGCCAGGCTGACCTGACGGTGAGAGCTGGCGATTTGAAATCTAGGGAAGATCAGCTCAACAAGGAGAGGGAAGTCCTGGAAAGAGAGAGGCAGGAGCTGCAGAGAGAGAGGGAAAAGCTCAATGCTCTGGCACAGTCGTTGAATCTTCAGGCACAAGAGCTGGACTCCATGATGAAGGTTGTGGAACATGGGCATACCAGATGCATATTTTCATTATTATTTTTTTATACACTTTTTTTCTCCAGGGAGGCCTCACAGAGTCACATAACTCTCTTCCAGGTGGGACCTACCAAGTTATCACAGTAGGAGGCGATGTTGCTTTGTGTAATCCCAATTGAGTAATTTTGAGGTCATGTTTCAGCATTAGGATGCTTGGCCAATACCAGTTTCATACTCTCTTATTCTTATTTATGTATGGCAGGAAACCAGAGAGCCTGGAGGAAACCCATGCAAAACAGTTACTTTAAGTGTTACCACTCCACCACCCAGCCGCACAACCACTGCATGGGCTGTAGGTTACCGCCCACCACCACCCCCCCCCCCCCCACTGTAGATTAATTTAACAATTTTAGCACTTGAAAGCGCGACGCAAGCAGAGCAGGTGACACAGCTGCACTGGTCGGCACGTAGGCCTCTTCGGAGAAGTACGCGGATGGGGAGCGGGTGCTGCGCCAGGCTCGGCGCATCGAGGGGGAGCATCAGTCCCGCCTCGACAACATCCACCACCAGATGGAAGCCCTGCGCGAGCATGAGCAGCGCGTGGTGCAGGTGAAAGTTTTCCCACTCGCACCCATAAACGTCTACATGTACACGCACGCGCGCGAAGCATGCACCAGCATACGCGTGCACAAGACACGTTACCATACATGTACCCATGTGCACACACAGGCACACAACAACATCAATCGTGGTTCACCGCAGAGTGGCGGTGACGTCACCACAGCGTTTGTGTCATGCTAAATGTACTTTGAGGCCATGTCAAGTTTGAAGGCCCGCTGGCAGGAGGTCACGAAACAGACCACACACACGTACGCGTGATGCACATGAATGCACAGACGTGCACACTTGGACACGTGTACAGAGATATGTGTGAACATTCACGCACATATTTACAATCAAAGGGAGTACACACATACAATACAATGTGGATTGATATAGCATCTAACAAAGTGTGTATTTCCCATTGCATTGCTCAGGAGAAAGCCTCGATGGCCCAGGAACGGCGAAACATGGGCCATCTGCCAGGAACCCCCACTCCAAAACTGCACAGCAAATATCGGCTCCGACACATGGACACTCATTGCAATACGTCCCTCCCGCCCAGTAGTAAGTGCTTTACCACTTATGGCTTGTTACATGCAGAATCACTTGAATGGGTGCCATGATGGCGAGATGTTAACTACCTCGCCTGGTATACAGGAGGTCGTGAGTTCAATCCCGAACCTGACACCTGCATATTTGGAGTTTGCGTGTCTCTCTCCTCGTGGTCGCGTGGATTTTTCTCCCGAGTCCTCTGTTTTTTTCCTCCACATTTAAAAACATGGGTTTAAGAGTATTTGGCTGCTATACATATCCACTTGATAAGTCACTTCGCTGAGCTATCATTTGTGGCCAGGTCATTTCTGAAAAATACCTATATAGCTCAATGTGCCTTACCTGGTAAAATGAAAAAGTTTAGTTTTTATTTATAGTTTGTGTCACTTCCTCTTCCTTTTTTATGTGGCAGGGTGCTTAGCAATGCGCTCTGATGATGTTGAGGCTGGTGAGCTGATTGAGGGCCCGGGAGAAATGTTGTGAATTTCTGAAATGTCGCCAGCGAATGAGCGACATATTGGGCATTGTCGGACGATATGTTCAACGGTTTGGTTTTAATAGCCACTGTCGCAATGCGGGGGGGACTGCTTCTCATCTTCCACCAGATTAATAGGTGACCACCACACCTGCCATGTGATATTCGGATGCGGTTAAGAGGAGATGACGTTTCCCTTGGTAGGGCCATCCTGGTGGGTTCCGAGGTGGGATCGGTGATGAGGCTCTTGTTTGGAACGTTGGCTTTGTCCAGTGTTGCTCTGCGCTGTGACTGAATATCGAAGGAGGGTGCTATGTTGAGAGCTTTTGCCTGGTCCTGGGCAAGATACATATTTTTTTATGCATTGTTAGGTGAGAATTTGATATATCTGCAAATATAAATGAAGTTAATGTAGTTTAAATTAGATTGATACGCTGTTGGACAAATTAGTTGAACCATTTAACAGGGGTTGTTTTGGGGGGAGACTGGCCCATGCCATGTGGATGTAACACTTTTGCCACTGGCTTGGGGCTCCCAAGGTCGATGAGGAAGCAGGACTCATTTCAACATGGCTACACCTTACTTTACCGTTGATTTAGGACATGGACGATGAAGATATTTTTTCTGTGGTTTATTCAGTGATTTTGTGCACTCACGGGACAGATGTCACAGGTTTTTATTTCCTTCTGTAGCATCTGGAGCAAACTTGCAGAGTGCTCTCGTGCAGTCCCTCACATCCTCTGCTGCAGCTGAGCTGCATGCAAAGCTCACACTTTTCAAGCACACAGCCAGTCAGGTATGATGTTACACGTTCTGTTTCACCCAGATGTTACGTAACTCAATTTCTTATGAGAAAGTGTCGATTAATGTCCAGTCTTCGTGACCCTTCATTTAATGCTTAACATGCATTATTGTCATCTTAATAGATATCATTAACAGATTAAGTAAATATTAAATGTTCTTGCAGAAGTCCAATCAGCTGAAATCTCAATCATATCTTTATCTACGTCATTAGGGCATTTATGTATTACATTTTGAAGTCACAATGATCCAATGACTGGACCATGTAGTCACGTACAATAGTTATTCAATGCCTCCTGAAAGGTCTAGAGTCTCTGATAAATTTAGGAATATAGTGGCAGCGGTTGGTTCACAGCGTGTTGCACTATGACGTTCTCCGAATTCGATTCCTAGCCATGGCTAACATGAGTTAATGTCTGAACTGCTCTTTGCCACACCGTCGCTGGCCAGTGGAAATATAAAATATGGTCATGCAACCCCCCTTGATGACGTGGCATGGAGAGGGAGGCCTTCTTCTAGCAATGGAATTGATAAAGGACTATTATATTCTTAGTTTTTTCGGTAAAGTCACGTTGAAGAGAAACAACAAAATAACAAAATATATATAAAACAATAAAAAATTCTCACGACGTTTCGACCATAACTCAAACGGTCATCATCAGGTGTGTTGGTTTGCATAAATTTATTTTTAAACGGCACATTTATTTATTTAATTTGAGACTGACGCCATCCAGACTGCCACTCTGCGCCCAACCTTATGGAAGAGGTACGTGGATGACACTTTTGTCATCTGGCCACATGGCCGGCCTGCTCTAGACCAATTCTTCGACCACATCAATTCCATACACCCAGCCATCAGATTTACCATGGAAGTCGAAATAGATGGCAAGATACCTTTTTTGGATGTCCTAATTAAAAAGAGACCTGATGGTTCAATGAGCCACTCTGTCTACAGGAAAGCTACCCATACGGATGCTTATCTGAAACCGGATTCCCACCACCATCCATCACAGAAGAATTCTCTCATCAAGACTCTGTATCATAGAGCCCAATGCATATCCGACCAGAACACATAAGCAGTGAACTCAAGCACGTACACCAAGCTCTTAGGGCTAATGGTTACTCCGACTATACAATCCGCAAAGCTATCACTCAAACCATGAAGAAGAACCCTCTTGAGGAGCCTTTCAAAACCATCACTTTACCCTACATTGCTGGGATCACAAAAAAGATCTCCAAAATCTTGAATAAACACAAGATCCAGGTCCGTTTCAACACATTACATAAAATCCGTGATCTGGTTCCGTCTGTAAAAGATGTGATTCCGGACATACAATACCCTGGTGTCTACAAACTAAGTTGCCTCTGTGGTAGTAGTTACATTGGAGAAACCAAACGCCATATCTCGGACCGCATTCGTGAACATAAAGCAGACCTTAAACACGGTAGGACCAACACCTCGGCCGTAGCAGATCATTGTTCTAATTCAGTAGGCTCACATGCCATTGACTTTTCCAAGACGGAGGTTCTTTGTAAGCCATCTGGCTTCCATGAGAGATTCGTTCATGAGGCTATCCACATATACAAGCACAGAGACAATTTCAACCGAGAAGATGGATTCTATCTTAGCAATCATTGGAAAGATTTGATAAACCATTTCAGTTCTTAATTGATTGTTCACGCTTACAGTGGCTTTCAGACAGCATACATTATAAAAAATTTCGTCTCCCCCCTCCTCTTTTCAAAAAAAATAAAAAATAGATGGACTAGTCCTGGGCAAACTGCCAAATCGCTGCGCGTGACGCCAACGTTTTTTATAAATAAATGTGCCGTTTAAAAATAAATTTATGCAAACCAACACACCTGATGATGACCGTTTGAGTTATGGTCGAAACGTCGTGAGAATTTTTTATTGTTTTATATATATTTTGTTATTTTGTTGTTTCTCTTCAACGTGACTTTACCGAAAAAAACTAAGAATATGAATTACTGCAGTCACGAAAGCTTTAAATCAAAAGGACTATTAGTTATACATTTTATGTTTTTATAACAAGGATCGCGACTTCCTGGAAGACGAGGAACATTTCCTGCGCAGCCTCAAGAAGTCTTCCAACCAGTCCTCACTCTCCTTCGCCTGATCCTCACCAGGAGCTCACTGCATGCTCCATACAGTACAACCACCAACTACTTGTTATGTTTAATGTGCGGGAATGTCTTCCGCTCACCTGTATTAAGCTCCGTTTATTAGACTCCCGCTTCCCCCGTAGAAATGAACAACTTTTTTGCATCAGTCTTTAGGAAGCCAGAATGAGCAGGGCTATTTCAGGAAACTCTAAAATGTGCCCCCATGGATAGGAACGTGAGTGCAGCATTCGCTCCGTGAAACATAATGGTTTGCTATAGGCAAGAGCAAACCATGTACAGAGGTCAGTAATAGGAGACAAGTGTGTAGGGGTGAATGCTATCATTTGTTTTTATACAAATTTACAATGCAGGGATAACATGAGACCTAAGCAATCACCCAAATAGATGTGTTACTTTTATCAGTCTAATGTATTTTTTGTTATAACTAAACCCTAATTTCCTAAAATTCCAGTCCTCGCAACCTTCTGCGTTAAAATACATTCCTGTTGCACATTGCATATCACGGATGAGAGATAACATATTGCAAATTTTGTAGAGGGCATATTCAAATGATGTGCTGCGTGAAAAGACTTCATATTTGAATCGCGGCTATTGGTGAACATGGAAGACGTAGTGGTGGGTCGCGAGGACTAAAGTTTGGACAACTGCAGTATAAGCTAGGAAATCATGCCAATGTTAAATGTTTTAAATGCTAACTTGTAAAGGTTTGTATTCAAAATCAGCAAATCCACACAATTGTTTTTTTCTTCTATTTTTCGAATGTTGTTTTGTGTTTATAGGCTACATGGGTTTGTTTACCTCAGAGAACACATTTGCACTCTAATGCTATGCAGGACAGTCATGTCACTTGTATGAATTTATCTTGGCATAAAATAATAAAATACACCAATGCTTTGTTTTGGAATACATTTTATATAAACCAATACAATCAAACGCAGCATTGTTTAAAAAAATTGATGTCGTGAAGTGTGCCACATCGTTTTGTGTAGGAAGCTCGACAGAGGCTTTAAAATCTATACAGTTGTAATGCAGCTCTCAGAGACGCCGTCTTGTCTTCTGTATATTTATTAAGAATAAAGTCCAATGACAACTCAACAAGTAACCGCGAGTGACTCTGTACACTTGGGTAGTGACACAACTCTATTCTGAGGCAACATAGCTTCCAAACTCAAGACAGCTCGCAGACGATGGAGACGACTCGATCCAAGGCAGTGACAACGGCGACGACAGTTCCCCACACCAAGCAGCCCCAAGCCTCCGCTCACACTGCGACTTATCCTCGCTCGGTCCGGCCACGCCCTTATTCCAGAATTCTCCTCACCCTACCTGGCCCTGCCGATCACCGCCCTTATTACACTTTCCCGCCATTGGATCCCGTGCTCCCCCTCACGTGACCCTGTTAATGCTTGTCTCATTAATCATCATTAGCCCGTCCATTAGTAACCATGGTCCTGGGGAACTATACTGTCCCGCTATCCTCCGCACTGTCATTACCCATACTCTTTGGTTCTTTCGGTAAAGTCACATAGGTAGAAAAATAATATCACGACGTTTCGATCGCAACACAAGCAATCGTCATCAGGTGGGACAACCACAGCAAGAAAATACTTTAGGCCTACTTCAGCAGTTTTTTCTTGCTGTGGTTGTCCCACCTGATGACGATTGCTTGTGATGCGATCAAAACGTCATGATCTATTATTTTTCTACCTACGTGACTTTACCGAAAGAACCAAAGAGTAAAGCTTCAAATCAAGATTGTCATTACACAGTTAAGCATTATAACATCCACAGTGTAGTTTTATAAACTCCGCATAGTCACTACTCAAACTGGCCCTGGGATCACTCTTAAAGCTGCCGGATGTGGAACCACTCAGAAGGGTACTTCCAACCACTACAGAAGCAGCAGATGAAATGCGTCAATGAAGTCAAGTGTAATAAACACATCAAATTACTCCTTCAGTTGCTTAATGTTTAATTTAAGTGTTTAGCTATCTTCCTCCAGCAGAACATCCTGTCAACTCCCTGCTCCTGTTCAAGCCCACACTCAAGACTCCATTTTTACTTTGCCTATTAATGACCATCTCTCTCTCATTATAAAAAATGCCAAATGTGTCTACATTCAACTGGAGTATAATATGCTTGCTGGGGGGGAGGGCTCTGCCGAATGGAGTTCAAGCATAAGCACGGGTGGGGCTGCTGCCTCGGTACAAAGGGGAGAATTCCCTTGGTGAATGATGCAGAGGTAGCCACATGGGGGGCCTTCAGCTCTTCAGTTCAGCACCACCTGCTGAGTGCGTTCACGGTGAAAGACTGATTTTACTGCCTGTTGCTTTGCCAGCACTCATCCATTCAGATCACACACATTTAGAAGTTGTCATGTATAGTTATTTACATGATGCTTGCAGAAAATGGCAACTTTGGTTCATTTAAAAAAAATACATGTGGAGAGAAATAAATGCGCATTCGCTTCAGATAACTTTGTTGTTAAAGGAAATGGACCATCGATAGAAAATCGAGCCTTAACGTCTGTTACTAACCTGAAACATCAGGTGAAATGCGGTCATATTTTTTGAAAAGCTCTTTGCTTTAAGTTGTAAGGTTACAAGTTCAAATCACGGCCAGTGGTTGACTACGCTCATTGTTGCTGCATAGTTAAAATGACAGTGGTCCCTCGGGTTAGCAATATTAATTGGTTCCATGAAAACCATCGTCAATAGAAATTATCGTTAATAGAATATAGGAAATACACAATTTCCCTACCTTTAAAAATCCTGGTCGAGGCATCCTTCACATTGAAAGCTGTGAAATTGTCCTTTTGAATATTCGTGAAAATGGTGAATTGGGGCAGGCCATATTCACTAACCAGAGCACTTGTTTTTACACATATTTCGTGTTTTTCAATAATTTCCTGATTAATTTGCGCACTAATTGTTTTCCTCACATGTCTACATATGCATTTTAGGGGCCATCGTGATTGATCTTAACTTTTAAGTAAAAAAAACAATTTCGATTTAAAGCTTTCGTGACTGCAAGGATTCATCTTCTTTGGTTCTTTCGGTAAAGTCACGTAGAATGAGAATAAAATAATAAATTAATAAAATAAAATAACACAATAAAATTCTCACGATGTATTCAAGAGAGCTGTTTCCATAAGCAACGCACATTAAACACTGCAAAGCTAGCCAGTTACTAGCAAAACACTCATGAAAGGGCATCGCTGATTGGCTGAGGTCTGCCGAGTCCACTTAGGAGCGCTCCGATTTGCCGAAATTGGCAGCCGCGTGATATCATAAAATCATATCTTGAATCGAAAACATCGTAAATGGAAACAATGGGAGCCTATGGGAGGTGAATCGTTCATCGAAATATTGTTAATCGATGGCATCGTAAACCGAGGTCCCACTGTAAAAACCAGTGGCCGTCTTATGGAAAAACTGGCCGGTCATGGGAATGTTACATTTTCTCCCCTGGGTCAAGGTCACTAATAACAAAGCAGTGCCATCCCATTGATTGTTTAACCTTGGAGACACTGCAAAAGTTCGATGTGGTTAGGTAAACCTTCACATGAGCACAGTGGACAATGAGTGGGCTGCACACAGCGTGGATGAATTGTGCGCGCTCTGCAGCAGCAATCGCAACGTATCGAATGGGGCGAACCCTTGCTCATCCCATGTTCGTGCAGGAATCAGCACTTTACCGCCTCGTCCTTTTGCTCAATGATTCCCGTAGGTCGGCTCATTGCTTTCGCGGTGCAGGTCCAGGTAGCGAAGAGTCTTCTTGTGTGGGTACTTGACTTGCGGTGGGTGGTATGGCTTGGGCCAGTCGTACTCAAACACTGGCTCACGCATATCTGAAAAATAACACAATATAACACCGAATGTTTTAAGTGCACAATAGATAATTTTGGCTCGTTCATGGATCCTCGCAAATGTCCTCTTAAACTTGCTCTAATGCCTTTACTAATAACTCGTAAAATTGCTTTGACTTGGCATTAATAGTTGGACTTATCAGAAATGCACTTTGTATTTTTTCCCTGATTTTGTATTATTTTGTATAATTGCAATGGAGTGTTCAAATGATAATGGTGACTCATTAAGGAAAACTATTTCAGCTAAATTTTATTACACAGGGCTCTAACAGAAAAGTTTTCACAATGAAAAAAGTACCACGAAGAAGAAACTAAAATTCACTGCAGAATGTGCAGTTAATTGCATTCAACACAAATGCAGAATTGTGTATCATTACAACACATATGCACAATTGCAGTATTTAAAAAAAAATGTAATGTCTCAGTGAAGATGAGCATATCCAATGCTGCTGATGTTACTATACCTCTCCCCATTGCTTTCTTTCCTCATGACCACCACCATCTTGGCTTCAACTCTTCCCCTAAGCTGCCATCCGATAGGCACTCATTCAAATGGCAGTCTCGTTAACCCACCATTGTAGGATGCTCACAACCGGCCGGTATGTGAACATGTGCCTATGACAAAACATCTCTATTACAAAACCAGTTTAACACGGAGAGGCTTTCGCGACCAATATCCATAATAGAGGATTTTTGGGTTAGATCGCGTAAATATATAGAAGTGTCATTAAAGCCGCCACCACCCGACACAGCTAACTAGTAAGGGTTGTCACGTAAACAGAACATGCCAATTTATCACTAGTACAGTACACCGGTGTGTTAGAGAGCCAAGCCACAACATTTACAATCTGAGTACGACGTTTCGCCAGTAATTACAACTAGCTTCATCAGGCAACAGCCAGATTTGTGAAGTCCACCTTTTTCGTTCCTTAGAGGCGTAGATGTGGCGACCACACTTCTGCGCTCTTGCGCAAAGTGGGGGGGGGGGATTACTGAGTCAACGTACATTATGCATGTGCATTATGCGAGCCCTTTCATCTTGTCCTTCCTGTCCATTGTGTGTATTAAAATAGCGTACCAACGGTCATCCCTGCACCAGTTGTAGGCACTCCCATGACTGCCTTCCACTGTCACCACACACTCTGCTTCTCCTACTACCCGCTCTCATCTATTACGCACCTCCACTACTCCGCACCTCACCTACTCTGCATCTCAGAAACTCTGCATCTCAGCTGCTGCACTCTCCTACGCTGCCCCGTACCCACTCACCCGCCTGTCTCGGGCAGGGGGTTCAACCAACACCCGCCCGGCGACGACGTGAGGGGCGAGGTCCCGTTGACGGCTCGAGCGGCAGCGGCGAGATGTCTTCTCTCTTGGTCCCCGAACAACTCAACTCTGCTCGCGCACACTCCTGCTTCTATACCCCTCCTCATTCCGAGTCCTCACGTGCTCCCCACTTAAGCTTTCGCCTCCGCCTGTCGCACTCATTAAATCCCCTATCATCACCCCCATCTCTCGTCTCTCCGGCGCCAACCTCCTGCCCCAGCGCGCACACCTGCTCGTCCTCGATTGCACCTGCTCAACTGCCGTACTGGTGGCGCGTAAAGGCATGAATTTAAACAATGTATTATTTAATGATTCGCTTCCACGCAGCACTAACTCGGTAGCTATGCGAACGGTTAAAATTATTTTTATTTCAATTTCGATAGATTATCTAATTACTCTTGGCCAGTAGTAGCTAGTTTTGCACAGAACTTCAACATTATCAACATAAATTGAGTGTCCTTGTTGGCACGCGTGTTCTGCTACTGCTGACAGTTGTATTTAGGAGCATTTAATATTTCTTTGATGTTATTTTAGTCTCGTGCTGATCATTCGTCCTGTTTTCCCAACATAGCATTCACTACATGTGCAGTTAATCCTGTACACACCTTCTGGTGCTCACATTATGAATCCACCCCCTCCCCCCACTTATATATAAGGAAGGAAACCGGTGGACTTCTCCACAAATCTGACTGTCGCCTGTTGAAGCTGTAATTACTGGCAAAACGTCGTACTCAGATTGTAAATGTTGTGGCTTGGCTCTCCAACACACCGGTGTGCTGTACTGGTGACGAATTTGCACGCTCTGTTTACATGACAACTCTTACTAGTTGGCTGTGTCGGGTGGTGGCGCGTTTAAAGACGTATTTGTATATTTACGCGATCTAACCCAAAATAACCCCTCTGATGGATATTACAAAACCATCCGCAGAATGAGCCTGACTTCATCAGATCTTAGAATCTAAGCAGGGTTGAACTTAGTGCTTAGATTGGTGACCACCATGCACAAAACAGTCGTTATAGACTGCTGCAGGGCTACATTGTGGGCAGTGCAGCAATATGTATTGTTGGACAATACTTCTATGCTCCCTACCTACGCCAACCCACATTGACCAGTGTAGTGAAGTGTGATCAAATAAATTCGCCATGACTCACACGTGGGGAGACCCTCATCCAGTAGTGGAATGACAAAACATTACGTTGTATTCAATGAATGCTGGTCCTTTGGGTTTTGCGTTGCCACTGCATGTTCCTCACCGAGTGTGTTGTGGAAGATATCTGTGACAGACTCGTCCCAGTGGCTCTGGAAGAATGCGATCCCGGCCGGAGTGATGTCATCCTCGTGCTTCTTATAGAAGTCAAATGTCCGGAACGTGCGCTCTTTCAGGCTGCGACTGTAGAAAAATAAGGAGACGGAAAGAGGAACAAATGGGTTTGAGAACAAATGTAAGTTAAAGACATCATTATACTGGTAGGAACCTCCTGGTTACACCAGCCCACAGGGGATTATTGTGTCCGTCCGTCCGTCGTGCATCCAAAAATGGAAAGGGTGGAGCTGGGTGGAGAGGAGAGGGTGGGGACGGGCTGGGTGGGGAGGGGCTGGGTGGGAAAGGTGGGGAGGGTGAGGCTGGGTGGGGCTGGGTGGGGAGTGGCTGGTCACCCCGTGGTGCCCTTATAAAACTCAACGTTTAACCTACTCACGCCGGCTTGTGCCCGCCCTCACAGTCAGGCATATTTGCGGAATACACCACGCCGCCGTTGACCCTGGCCATTGACCGAGCAACCCAACGTTCCTACCAGCTCCCTCCGCAGGAATGTGTTTACTATTAAGAAATGTGGACTTGGATAGGCCAAGGCACGAGAAGGGATGAGGCCGCTGGTTAAGACTAACGAAAGAGTTGAAACTAAAAGAGTGAACATACCCGGGCGAATGTCTACCATGGAGATGGAGAATTAAAATCACCTCAGGAGATAGATGGATTGCTATATTGTGAGGGATCGCGATGGCGTGGGGAGGGGGGAAGCTTTCATCCAGCAGTGGATAGATCATGGCTGACGTTGACGACGATGGCGAGTCGCATTGACACACGAGTGAATAAACGAACAGGTGGGGGGGGGTTCTTCGGTGCGTGTGCTGCATCAGCCCTCACCATGGCTCTGGCCGAATCTCTGTGCCAAAATCGAGGAGGTGCTCCTGCTTGTAGAGGAGGAACACGAGACGGTGATAGCCGGTGCCCTTTGCTGGGAACGGTGTCAGATAGTGGCACACAGTCTGTCCCATTGACACCCGGCCTCCCGGTATGTTCCCGCTGCAACGCACATGCACTGTGTCAAGGCCATGCCTAATTTCACGTGTGCGCACTATATATACTATAACAATTCCAGTCTTTCTCATCCACCAATAGTTGAAAGACAATCCATGCCATGTCAGGAATGGGTAGGGGTTGGCAACCTGCAGCTCCGGAGCTGCATACGGCTCTTTAAGACCTGCTTCATGGCGTTATTTATTCAGGACCACAGTCTCGTATTCACATGCATTGTGGCTCTTGAAATATTTTGGTTGTCGACCCGTGACTATGGGTGTTTTTTGACCAACTCCATACTAATCAACGTGAGATGTTGAAGGTTTCCTGGACAGGACCGGTTCAAATATCAATTGCCACTTGTGTGAGCTGGGAATCAAACTCATATCGCCAGGTTTACTGTAGGCACTACCTCACCCCCATACACTAAATCAGGACAAATATCCCCTCTTTATGGCATACAATTTGTATTTATATGGGGTTTAAATACAACCGCATCTCACCAAGACGTTTAATACAGTGTGTCTCCTGTGGAAAGAGGCACATTCATTTACTTTATAAAGACCGAGACAAAGGCAAAAGAGAATAGAGTTCCGTAAGCTGATAGTGATCCCCTACTGACATGGCACCAATGGGGTGGTATGGACAACTTCACACCTGCCTGCCTTTCTTTGTCTCCCCTAGTGCTGAAATTTAAACACTGCACCAGGTACTCATATCATCTGTGAATTTGCAATTTTAGTTTTTACACTTGTAAAAACTATTGCTCTTAAATGTGTTTCTATATTATCCTTTGTTTTGTGTGAGTTTATGTATGATCCGCTATAAAACTCAACTATTGCTGACCAGCTTGGGCTAGATACCTGTAAAAAAAATTGTTAATAACTCATCAAGTTGTTTCAGCTGAAATCAAATGTTTATGTATACGTAACAATGCCTGAGACAACCATAACATTAAGCTGATACATGAACAATTCAATATTAAAGTGAATACATAAAAAAACCTGACCTATTTAGGGTATTAATCCAATGACAAATTAATAAATTGCAGTTAAAAAAACTGCTCATAAACATCAACTAATCAAGCATGATTGCGGAGAATGTTAATAATGAACATAACTCATTCCCCATATTGGTATATACACTTAAATAATTGTTTTTTTTATACAACCCATCAGCATGGCCTTCTGGGACTGCATCTTAGCAGCATTTCATTCAACCAATGCTGGTGAGCAAAATGTCAACATGATTTGATCTTCACTCATGCCTTATAGGTGTACACTTACACAAACCAGTGTAGGTATTCTGACTCGTTATCCTGCAAGTGGCCATCTGCAACAGGCGAGATCAGAACATTGTTGGGACTTATCCAATGTGAAACCCTTGATTACCCCTACTCACAAAATATGATTTTTCATAGTACATCAAAGTTTCAGTTATACAGTATAATTTCGCAAAATTATAGTAATATATATGTGCATCAACATAATTGGAATATTTACAAGAACATTTTATTTTATTATACAAAATTACTCGGAATTAAAGGTCTAACATGCCACTGGATTAAATAGAAAATAAAAACATTAATTAAGCACATAAAAAATAAAAAATAAATGCATAAACATAAAAAAATCAGATAAACTAAACACCGTTTGTGTTATGGTCGAAACGTCGTGAGAATTTTTATTGTTATATATATTTTATTATTTTATTGTTTCCCTTCAACGTGACTACCAAAAGAGCTAAGAATATGAATTACTGCAGTCACGAAAGCTTTAAATCAAAACCATTAATTCTACCTGTTGTAAAGATGTATGAATTGTACATTTTTAACAATGTTTATAAAACATGTAATTTTCGATTATATAATTGACATAGTAACATTGACATAATTTAAGTAGGATATTTGTGCGCAGCACCCTGGAATGAAATGGTTCCACGTTGATAAAATCGTACCGAGATTAGTGAGGATGAGCGTCCAGAGCGAATCTTCATTTGCTTCGAAAGTTACTTCTGGAGCCTCTTGCGTCTTTGGGTGCGACAAACAGGTCAGTGAAGCTCACTAAAGTTTAAAAAAAAACTCCAAAGAGACTATTGGTGGGGGTTAACTAAACTGTACTTTTTAGAAATAATTCATTGTAATTTGTAAATCTACATGAAAAAGGGGTAATTCCCAATTACCCACACACTGCATACGTTATTCAAGCATTCACAAATGAAAAATGTATGCTGGGTGGTGCTGAATATAGGCATTTTTCCAAAATAGATATTAATGATTTTACTGATTTTTAAAAATAATAATCGATAAATAAATAAATGCCCTCAAACCGACAAGAATCAACACCAAGAAGCCAAGCAGCTGGAGGTCGTAAAAGGCCATTAAATAATAAACTCCGGGGCAAAAAGGGGGGATACAGACCCCCGTCCCCTCACACACAACAGGCCGCCAGGAGATAAACAATAAAAAGTAATAAACCAAATCAAAGAGGAAAAAGGGGGGGGGGGGGAAATTACTAACGAAGCCCGAGGGGAATTCCAGGCTTCAAAGACTCCATCTTGGAACTCCCAGACAATCCGACGCCACGCACAGACGAGTTCTAAACAATTTTCCCCTTCGTTGCTATTAATGCAACGGTTAAAGTTTCAAACTTAGCAACAAATGAGTCGACATCATAAAGAATCCACACAATCACTAATAAAAACCAAACTACAATCTACATAGCGGGTTATTGCTTCACATACATAAATTAACACTAACGTTATTCACCTTAAATTATATTACATCGTGCCCGTTACATGACCTTACAAAAACCAAGGAATATGAATTCCAACAGTCAAGAAACTTACCTCTTAAACTCAGGACATCCAAAAATAAAATAAATAATAACTCAAGCATAACAGCACCGATCCCCGGATACAGACAGGGGAACAAAAATTAATATACCCTAGGAAATGCGTCGTGATGACAATGAATCGCAGGTCTTAGGAAACAGACCAAATGATATTCTTAGTTCTTTCGGTAAAGTCACGTTTAAGGGAAACAACAAAATAATAAAATATATATAAAACAATAAAAATTCTCACGACGTTTCGACCATAACACAAACGTTTCAACGTGACTTTACCGAAAGAACTAAGAATATGAATTACTGCAGTCACGAAAGCTTTAAATCAAGACCAAATTATATTTGTGCAGTATTAAACCGAGGGCCAGCCAGAGAGAAAGGGAGCCTCCCGGCCGTCTTTGTCTTCCCACAGCACGTGATAAGAATTTGCATACGCAGGCAGAGAACATCTCTTAAAAATAAAAATAAAACACCACGATGGAAACACTACTACAACATACCTTGAGTCACATACAGAATCATAACTGCAAGTGGTACGGTTTCAAACTATGAGGTAAAATAAATGTTTAAACTTCAAAGCCTCAACACACCCATTGTGCGAGTCGAAAAATGTCACACCAAAGGAAGAGGGGGCAGAGGACTCGACAGGAGGGGACACCCCCCTCCTTCCTGATTAATTAGTACAGAGGGCGAGACAGAAGGACGCACGTGGGGCAATCTGAAGCATCTGCTTCCTTTTGATGATGGGATGGCTTGAGTAAGGCGACAGGGGACCATGCCTTGATGAAACTAATATTACCTCAATAAATGACACACACACGGACACACGACAATCCATCCCCCCACCACACAGAGCGAGATCAAAGAGAGATCCGGTCCTTTGTAAGAAGGCGGAGCCAGAGAGAGACATTTTGGCATAAAAAGAGAGACCCGCGAGCATTGAATCATCAGCGACCAGCAGCAGAAGACGGCGACCAACCTGAAGATACCAGCCAACCACCGACGCAGAAGAAGACTCAACAACTCACCCAGAATGGCGAGGCTCACTATTTAGCGACATGCTACGCCGTGCGAATTCAGCACCATCAGAAGTATCGCTCGAAAAGCATTCCGCTCTGAACCTCAACTCACAAGAGTCCAGCAGTTCTAGCTAAGCTGACGAGAATTCCAGCATCAGCAACCAGAGAGGGCGGAAAGAGCCAAACGTCGACCAAGCCTGCCATCAACGAACGAAGCGCCGTTCATCGCCAGAGAGCCAAAGCAGGAGAGAGCACGCCACCAAGCGCCACCAAGCGACACCAAGCAAGAGTGTCAACTGCCAGCAGACGAGCTGTTGTGCCGACTCGACTAATCCAGCAGAGGAAAGAGCCTGCCCAGCCGCCCGTGAGCAAGGGTGTCAACTGCCAGTGGACGAGCTGCGGGCGCTATCTGACGACGGATCATCGCGCCCGACGGCGAGCGCCGTGCCAACTCGTCCAGCCAGCTGTGGGCCGAACTCCGGCCGCCCGTGAAAGAAGGAATCCAGCTATCCGTATGATACTCACACTTCCACCGCATCACCTGGCGTCTTCTTGACGCAAAGAATTGATCCAGAACACACCCCCACTCAACCCAATTCATACCACTCAACACATACACGAATCATTAATAAGAAGCCTAATTATCAAGTACATGAACCATCAGCTGGCCGTGAAGACATCTCGGCCTTACCGAGTGATGAGAATACATCGTTTATAAGTACATTATTTTTTGTGATTTTACTTCCAACCGCATAATTACCAATAGATTAATCGATACAAATTAAACTTTTGAAACCTTCGTCACGAAGCTATACGCTCACAGGGAGAATATCGTGTTAAACCGGTTTCTCTATCATACAATCTTGTCCACGAATTAATTAAAAGCTTAGCCAAAGATAAGGATCTCCCGTGGGAGAGCACGTACTGCCGCACACCTTATTCCAAGACATCTCGTTAATTATATAATCTTGCCGATGAATCTATTGACGTATATTTGTGCCTTTGGGGTATAATAATTGCTTTTATCGCCTTCGCATGAATATCGTCGAATGAATTTTTAAGGACTTTTTATTCCTATTTGCCGTGTATGCTCGTGTTACTCTGAAGTAATCAAGTGATCTGTTACCCAATTAACAACGTGATTATTGAGGGTTAAATGTATGGTCAATGAGGGGAATATCACCTGGAGTACTGTGTTGACAATTTCAAGTATAATAATTCGGATTAGAGTGTTAAGGTTTTTGTTTAGAATATCATGCATGCCTGTTTTAAAGACTCTCCCTATCACCAACTAAGCTCGCGTTACGCGGTGGAATTAATCATATGTGCAGTTGCCAAAGTGAAACAACGCAATCATTGATGGTTAAATGTACTGCTACCTGAAGGAGAATTCCCCGATGGTACTGTGTTGATAATTCCAAGCATGAGAGTTTGCATATTATAGTGTTAAAGTTTTGTTTAGAATTAAAATTGCTTAACACAGAAGTGTTTGAGTGTTTCTTTCCTGAGTTCATGCATAATAATCTTATTTATAAGAACTGTATCCTGCGTTGAGATTTGAATTTGGAAACCTGACATAAAACACTAATACATAATCAGTAAATGTTAAAGCGAGAATAATTGTATTATACCGATCGATAATACGAACCGAGACAACGAAGCCGAGTTTAATCTGGCGTACTTACAGCACACCTGTATAACTTCATACGATTAATTGTGTGATCCCGATTGATGATACGACCCTTGTCAGCGAGGCGGGGCCTAATTATCATAACGGCTTGCATTAGCATAATCGCATACATTCACATAAATTAATATGATTATCTCTCATTTTAGCGTAATTTATGAGCATGATTACATAAATTAACATGATTTTGGATAATTACGCATATTTTAAAATTTGAATAAAATTACATTTTTTACATTCAAATTTTCAATATCCTGATATACAACAGTGGTGCTGTGGTTAGAACATTCGACTAACAATTGCAAGGCTGCAAGTTCAAATCCCAATCAGAGATTAACAAATCTTCAACATACCTACAGGATTAACACCATGATTATAATTTTGCGAAAGGTCAAGAGTGGCCCGATGAAAATACTGGCCCCCAACAAAATGTGGAATTTCTGCCACTGCCTCAGGAATGACAACGGTGATGACAACTGTTCATTGCTCGTTAGAACGTGGAGACACCCTCTCAAATTATACAATTGTGCTCATGACATTTCGAATATATTGCAAAGGCGAATATATTGCAATTGGACCATTTATGTCACAGACTCTGTGCTCGGCTAATAAACAATCATGTGGCTGAGGTTGGATTGAAATGGTAAACGAATCCGGAGGAGGGCGGCATCGCACATCTTCCCACCTCGAAGGGCATGAGCACGTTGCCGTAGTAGACAGGGGCAGTGGCATCCTCTTTGGGCAGGGCGTACGCGACGCGCAGCATCACACGCGGCACGAACTCGGCGCCTTTGTACATATCCCGGTAGATGCCGTAGTGTGAGACGATGCCATGGATGTGCTGGGGCCCGGTAGTTTTCTCCCAGTCAGCCCGCACCTCGTCCAGTGGGATTTGCACTGCGCAGAGTAGAGGGAAACAATGAGATGAGTCTTGGCACGAAGTGAAGTGCAATGTTAAATGTGCCACACGTTGTATTGTATCGTTACCGCCAACCCAAGCAGCCAATGCATGGATGCATGCTTGAGATGTTATTTGTATAACACCAGCATATAAGTTCAGTATTTAAATTATTTGTAATCAAAAGTACGTGTGGTATAATACAGTTTAACACGTAGGCTTTCGCGACCAATATTATTCATAATAAAAAATTTTGGGTTAGATCGCGTTATTTATAAATGTGTCGTAACCCTCCACCACCCGACATGGCCAATCAGCAAAAAAAGTGTCATGTTGACAAAAGACAAATAATTCACTACTTTAGCCCACCGGGGTGTTGAAGAGTGAATCCACAACATTTACAGTTTGAGTACGACGTTTAGCTGGTAAGTACATCCAGCATCATCGGGCATCGGGTTTCACTCTTGCTGAAACATATAATAAATGATTACATTCTGGATTTTTTTTTTATATTATCACATATGTAATTATACTCTTTGTTTCTTTCAGTAAAGTTACGTAGGAATAAAATAAAATGTTGTGGATTCACTCTTCAACACACCGGTGGGCTAAAGTAGTGAATTATTTGTCTTTTGTCAACGTGACACTTTTTTTGCTGATTGGCCGTGTCGGGTGGTGGAGGGTTACGACACATTTATAAATAACGCGATCTAACCCAAAAACCTTTATTATGAATGGTATAATACAGTTTCCTTTTAACAACACTGATTGCAATACATTTTCAACACTTTAAAAACTATACTATATAACCTGAGAATGATGATTCTTAATATTTGCCACCCAAAATGTCACACTCAAATGACACTCGGGTGGGGTTTAATACCTAGACTACTGAGCCAGCACTGCTGAGTGAGTTGATTATCTCAGCCTGCTCACCAATGACTTCACACAAAAAAAGGAAACTTTTGTTTTTTTTCCCTTTGTTTGGCTTATTTAAACTCAAAGCATACTTTATTTTAGTTCCAATGGCATATTATAGGGCATCTAATCTTATGTACCAAGCACAGATAAAGAGACGAATTAAAGTCTTCAAAAGTAATTTTATGACATCATATTCAGGTGCAGCATAATATGGTGCATTGTTTTTTGCCAAACTTCCTTAAGGGAGAGTTCTTCACCTCATGGCATAATGCCACACTTACAATTGTAAAGTAAATATCAGCTTGTTAATTTTAAAGGGAAAACAGCTTTAAAATAATCCTGCTGCCAAGCTGTGACCGCATAACCCATGCCCAGGGTTGTCACACCGCTGAGCTACTAAAAACCGGGATGTAATATTGTAAAAATATCTCACAGTACCAAAAAAGGGGTGAATGACATGTACGCAACTTAATTAAAATAGTGACTTTTAATGTCTTGCAGGTTACAGATTTCTCAGGATAGCTACCTTAATAAGAGGACCCGCTCCTGGGTAAACTATGACAGGGTGGCAATCCTATTCACGTGTGCTAATCGGTGATACAAGGAAGGACAAAAAAAACAAACACAAAAAGCAGTTCAAAAGAAATTAGTTTTTAAATCTAGATTCTTTAAAAGTCCATAGCTCCAGTGGCTTCCTAATAGCAGAAGGAAGAACATTGCAGACGGCCGCAGAAGCACATCTGAAAGTACGCGATGCAGTGACCGTCTTTGTTCGATGGGCAGCCAAAGGCCGCCGAGAGGAAGACTGGAGTTCGTGTGATGGTTTACGCTCCTTGACAGTATCAGCAAAGTATTGTGGTTAATTTTTGGCAAGCACTTTGTGTGTAATGAGTGCAACCTTATAGCAACTTCATTGCTGCTTCAGTGCGTGGCTGCTCACATGTTCGCATCCTGGCAGCCCTTTCCAGGTCGGCATTCCTCCGGTTCTCCCGCAGCACGGTCCTTCGCGCCAGCCTCTCTGCCGCGCGTGCAGGGCGCAGGTGCGGTAGCCCGATGTTGACGGGCCGCCCTGAGCCATACTCATCGGGTTTCACTCTTGCTGAAACATATAATAAATGATTGCATTCTGGATTTTTTTAAATATTATCACATTATATGTAATTATACTCTTTGTTTCTTTCGGTAAAGTTACGTAGGTATAAAATAAAATACCTACGTGACTTTACCGAAATAACCAAAGAGTATGGATTCCTGCAGTCAAGAAAGCTTCAAATCATATGTAATTATAGTTTTCAAAATATATATGCTTACATATCGTGTTTAAAAATACGATTTATTAATGATTACATATCTTCTTTGGTTCTTTCGGTAAAGTCACGTAGAATGAGAATAAAAGAATAAAATAACACAATAAAATTATCACGACATTTCGGCCACAACGCAAGCGGCCGTCTTCAGGTGAAAGGTACAGAACTGTCGGGACGACAGAGCTTCAATGAAAGATGTTAAGATTCGTAGCAACTTTTAAGCTGGTTGGGAGAAGTGAGGCACCTTGACAAAGGGGTTTACATATCAATAGCTGAGGCAACTAGTAATTTAGCATTGAAATAGCTAAGGGATTAGCTTGTGCAAATAGCTGAGGGATTAGCTTGTGAATGGTCACGGAAATGGCTATGTTAAAGTCAAAACTTACACATCCACAGAGGCAACTAGTAATTTAGCATTGAAATAGCTAAGGGATTAGCTTGTGACTGGTCACAGAAATAGATGTTAAAGTAAAGGCCTACACATCCACAGAGCTTCAATGAACGCTGTTAAGATTCGTAGCGACTTTTAAGCTGGTTGGGAGAAGTGAGGCACCTTGACAAAGGGGTTTACATATCAAATAGCTGAGGGATTAACTTGTGACTGGTCACGGAAATGGCTATTCATAATAAAGGTTTTTGGGTTAGATCGCGTTTATTTATAAATGTGTCGTAACCCTCCACCACCCGACACGGCCAATCAGCAAAAAAAGTGTCACGTTGACAAAAGACAAATAATTCATTACTTTAGCCCACCGGTGTGTTGAAGAGTGAATCCACATTTACAGTTTGAGTACGACGTTTCGCTGGTAAATACATCCAGCATCATCGGGCAATTCGCCAGAATGGTAAAGCCCTCGCTTGCTCCCGGTTTTATATAGAGCAGCAGGGTGACGTCATCACTTAACTCATATCAGGTGCAGTGATTAGAGGCGGAGGGGGGGGGGTATTGTAATTATATAATCGATTAGTAATCAGTCATTGGTTATGATTAGTAATGAGTTGTAGATTAGTAACTCTTTAAATCAAAATGTAATGTGTATTATTTAATAATACACTTCCAGGCCGCACTAAGCCTGTAGCTGTCAGAGCGATTAAAGTTATTCTTGTTCCTCTCAATTTCAATGGATTCTCTAATTAGTCTTTGCCAGTAATAATTAGTTTTACACACCACTGCAACATTGTCAAAATCAATTGAGTGTCCTTGTTGACAAGCATGTTCTGCCACTGCCGACAGTTGTGTGTGAGATAATTTAATATTTCTCTGATGTTCTTTTAGTCTTACGCTGATGTTACGTCCCGTCTGCCCAATGTAGCAGCTGCCACATGAACAATTAATCCGATATACACCTTCTGTTGATAGTTTAGGTAATGTGTCTTTAGTGCAAGATACTAGTTTTTGAATTTTGTGTACTGTACCAAAGAACATCAGAGAAATATTAAATTATCTCAAACACAACTGTCGGCAGTGGCAGAACATGCTTGTCAACAAGGACACTCAATTGATTTTGACAATGTTGCAGTGGTGTGTAAAACTAATTATTACTGGCAAAGACTAATTAGAGAATCCATTGAAATTGAGAGGAACAAGAATAACTTTAATCGCTCTGACAGCTACAGGCTTAGTGCGGCCTCGAAGCGTATTATTAAATAATACACATTACATTTTGATTTAAAGAATTACTAATCTACAACTCATTACTAATCATAACCAATGACTGATTACTAATCGATTATATAATTACAATACCCCCCCCCTCCGCCTCTAATCACTGCACCTGATATGAGTTAAGTGATGACGTCACCCTGCTGCTCTATATAAAACCGGGAGCAAGCGAGGGCTTTACCATTCTGGCGAATTGCCCGATGATGCTGGATGTATTTACCAGCGAAACGTCGTACTCAAACTGTAAATGTGGATTCACTCTTCAACACACCGGTGGGCTAAAGTAGTGAATTATTTGTCTTTTGTCAACGTGACACTTTTTTTTTTGCTGATTGGCCGTGTCGGGTGGTGGAGGGTTACGACACATTTATAAATAAACGCGATCTAACCCAAAAACCTTTACTATGAATAATATTGGTCGCGAAAGCCTACGTGTTAAACTGGAAATGGCTATGTTAATATGTAAACCCCTTTGTCAAGGTGCCTCACTTCTCCCAACCAGCTTAAAAGTCGCTACGAATCTTAACAGCGTTCATTGAAGCTCTGTGGATGTGTAGGCCTTTACTTTAACATCTATTTCTGTGACCAGTCACAAGCTAATCCCTTAGCTATTTCAATGCTAAATTACTAGTTGCCTCTGTGGATGTGTAGGTTTTGACTTTAACATAGCCATTTCCGTGACCATTCACAAGCTAATCCCTCAGCTATTTGGACAAGCTAATCCCTTAGATATTTCAATGCTAAATTACTAGTTGCCTCTGTGGATGTGTAGGTTTTGACTTTAACATAGCCATTCCTGTGACCAGTCACAAGCTAATCCCTTAGCTATTTCAATGCTAAATTACTAGTTGCCTCTGTGGATGTGTAGGTTTTGACTTTAACATAGCCATTTCCGTGACCAGTCACAAGCTAATCCCTCAGCTATTGATATGTAAACCCCTTTGTCAAGGTGCCTCACTTCTCCCAACCAGCTTAAAAGTCGCTACGAATCTTAACATCGTTCAATGAAGCTCTGTCGTCCCGACAGTTCTGTACCTTTCACCTGAAGACGGCCACTTGCGTTGTGGCCAAAACGTCGTGAGAATTTTATTGTGTTATTTTATTATTTTATTCTCATTCTACATGACTTTACCGAAAGAACCAAAGAAGATGAATCATTTCAGTCACGAAAGCTTCAAATCGATGATTACATATGAAAACATTATTACATTAAATGATTACATGTGAAAATATGATTACATATTATGACATCATATGTAATCATATTTTAGTTTATATTATCCAAGAATTCCTTTCTGAGTCCCACTTAAAGTTACCACCTCTGAGGTACAAAACACTGGAGCAGAACTACTCTCTTGGCATGCTGTCCTTGGCAGCATGACAGCTACCTCAAAAACGTATGATCCTGGGATAACCAGGACAGATGGCAACTATAGTTCCAAGACTTTGTCCAGAGGGTTCCACCCATATTGGGATGTTTGGCCTATTTAATTAATGTGCATATGCCTTTTGGAAGGAAACAAGAGAAACCCCACACATTGGGATGGGCCAACACTTGAAGGTCCATAAGACAGGTTTACAAATTCAGTTTGCCATCTTCTGTCCACCATCCAGCCCAGTAAGATTTTGGAGTTTCACAAACCCACGTGATTCACAAACCCTTGCCCTTGCCTCCAAAGCAACTAACCACAGACGAGCGACATTACGCCACATCCTATTACAGGCACTGGAAAGGGCGTTATATACATCCTAAATAGAATAGAAAAGGGCTTGGCAGTGTGGCCATCTCTTGGCAGTCTAGTCATCTACAGGTCTTGGCAGTCTGGCCATCTTTTAGCTAGACTGCCAAGCCCTGGAGTAGGATGTGGCGTAATATCACTCGCCAGTGGTCAATTGCTTTGGAGGCAAGGGTTGACAAGGTGCGGTGGCATCAATGGGTTTGGTTGTGATGACATCCTGATCTTAATTTGTGCACGTCGAATTACCCTGTCTCTGCACCGACAGCTTGTTCCAAGGGAAGGAGGGCCCCCTTCGGCCCAATGCCCAATGAGAACATTGATGTGCGGCATCTCTTGGCCAGACTGCCACACACCTCCGTTGTAGAGCATGAAGTCGCGGTACGTCTTCCACCACTTGTGCTTAATTCGCTCGGCCTCTGCGCGCTTGTAGTAGGGCGTGTAGCTGCGGTACTTCTCCAACTCGTCCAGCTTCCGCACATCGATGTCCTCGTTGGGCATTGGGCCCAAGGGGGCCCTCCTTCCCTCAGCACAAGCTGTCGGCGCAAGGAGAGGGCAATTCGACACACAATAAATTAAGATCAAGATGTTATCACGAGCAAACATGTTGATTCCACCGCACCTCGTTAACGTGTTCTACCCTCATCCAGAACCAGAAGCTAATACAGAGTAGACACGCGACCTCCAAGATCTGCCCTGGTCGAATCATCCCACTATCTACTCTGAGGCCTTCTTCCTCTTGGTCGCCAGATTCGTGGACACAACGCCAATGCCCACCCACATCCTGCACACACGTACTAACAGTGCAACCGTTTTATGTTGTTGTTGCAAAGGGCGTTCATCAATGTATTATCCACTATTAAATACTTCTGACTCTTCGTATGAACACTTGGGAGGTTGGAGGTTCAGGGGTTTGAGCGGTGTTCCTCACCACAAAGCCCGCGGGCCCCTGGTGACCTTCAGTGCGGCCCCCGACAATACAGAAAAGTAAAAACACCCACCCCCCATCATTGCTGTCAAACCTCAATGATTCCAATTGTGTGGCGATCCCCACACTGATGTCTTATTGGCGAAAGGGGCCCCTCTGAAAATTAGTGAAGAACACTGGATTAGCGTCTCTCATGCTTCTTAACCTCCACGTTTACGCCTCCGCATAAGCGACGCGCATCGCATTGAGACTTTGGAGAGTCCAGGGTGTTCGCCAACATCTCGACTGAGCTTGTTTCAAATGATTCTGGTGACGCGATGTTTATTCTGTTTAACGAGGTGAGACCTCAAAACACCAGGATAGTCTCGTTTTCAAAAGTGACCTGGGATAATCGTCTGACAATAAGGGGCAATTATTGCATTCCCAATTTAGTTATTTTGCGGGCAATTTTCAAATGTGGACCCTGACGCCGGCACACGATGGCCTACTCTTGCGAATAACGTCCACGGTGAACCTCCACGAGAAGCGGCGAACGTCCGACCGCTGGGCCATGAGACCGCCGATTCCGTAACCTTAGCCGAGTTTAAGGATATACTGTACAGGAGACACGAGCGATGACGCCGATACTGATGGTGGAAATTGTGATGACTGATTAGCACGGTTTGGCTACGTACGGTGCGACAGAAGTTTAACGTACGTACAGATGGATACTGTGGTGGTCATAACGGATTTCGACACATGATTTTGATGTTGCTACTAACACCAGTACTAATAATAATTCTGCCTGCTGCCTATGATGATATAAATCCAAGTTCGCAGAAAGTTAATGCTGCTAACGATGATGATCATCATACTGCTGATCGGTAAGGCAGTCAATGATGACAATTGTGACATCAAACTCGTGGTAGTAATGCTGACAATGGCCATCGTGATGCTATTGCTATCAATGCTGCTGCTGCTGTTGATAATAACCGGTTGTTCTCAAGGCGCGGCTGAGTCCCAGTTGCTTGGCCATCATCGAGGCGAAGCGGCCTCTCGTCGCCAGCCCCGCCATGACCTTGCCTTCGTTACCGATTCGCCCCGTGGAGTCGATTCCCACCCATTTAATCTATACCTCGATTCAAACACCCACTGACAATGTTTGGAATGGATAACACATTTTATATTCGATTCCGAATTAACAGCTGCGCCATATGTAGGAATCGATTTATAAGTAGTGATAATTATAGGACAGCTGAATCGATTCTCGTTCGTGAAATGCGACCATGTGCACGCACTATTGGATTTGTTAGAGCGCATAAGTGGAATTCTGGCGCGCGATTGGTGAAGACCAAAGCACGTGGCTGCGCAAGTGAGCCAATGGGATGAATGACTACGTGCTTTTCTAGTGTATGGAATACAATAGGCAGGGGCGTGCACCCTTCATTGAGGATCCTGACTGCAACCAAAATTCTACTTAAACCATTCCGGAAACTCGCTTGTTACGAATGCCTTATTATCGTACAATATCTTTAACATATATATGCATTATCATTGTAATATATGTTCTGGTACACATTTTTATACGTTATAAATTGCTTCATAAACGATTGTTGAATAGTATTAATAACATTGCTGCATATATTGGTTCCGGTCCTTTCACCTACGGTGGCCGAGCGGCGCATAAACAGAAACGCGTTTCACGTGGACCCCACGTGAAACGCGATGCTGAAGCTCCGTCGTGTGACCTCCAGCCGCGATTACAGTTACAGAGCGGCCGTAGGACTCTCGTCCTACGGGTACCTAATAGGTTGCCTTAGTTTTACTGTTTGAGCCTTAAACATTTACTTTGCATTGTAATAATCCTACAAATGGTCTCATGTAACTAACATAACTTGCAGCGAGCAACACATCTTCAATATACTGCTTGTAAAGGGTGTTTCCCCCTTTAACGACTGCGAGGAGTATTGACGTCCTGGTCTTATGTTCTTCCATCTTTTTCACGAGTGGCTAATCACAATTTTTTATGGCATTGTTTAAATACATGTGTTAGAAATTGCAATTTCCGCAGTCACAACCAGAGGTCAGGAGCTTTCGCTTGATATACGTTTCATTTGTATATACAGTGATGTCTATATAAAGGTAGACATACAGTACCTAGAGCCAATCTGACCGGATCTTTCTGTACGTATCTGCAATAGAAAGTAAAACTAAAATGTCATGCCTTGCACAAACCTGCACACGCAGTAGGCTAATATTACAGATCGCTTCTCGCAAGGGAGGCGCTTGTAGGAACGCTGTTAAAGGGCTCGGTAGGTGTAATTGGTCACGATCTTTGAGCTCTGAGCCATCAGGGCTGAGTGAGCTCCCCCCGGCTTCAGGTTCCCCGCAATCCGCCTTGCCCTACCTGCAAGACCACGAGGCGACTCTGTACGTACACGTGAGTGACCCCCCCCCACCAACTCCATATTAAAGTTGAATATGCAACAAGGTTTTGTTGGCTGGAGGAAGGGACGATTGGGAAGCCCGCGTCCAAAGACCGTGAGGTCTAATCTTGATTGGAAGCTTTCGTGACTGCAGGAATCTATAGTCTTTGGTTCTTTCAATAAATAACCAAATATTTATATTCTTGGTTCTTTCGGTAAAGTCACGTTGAAGGGAAACAATAAAATAATAAATATATAAAACAATTCTCACGACGTTTCGACTGTTACAGTCATCATCAGGTGTGAAAACCAACGGCACGAACATTTGAAAGAAGTGGCGGTTTGTATTTATTTATTTTTAAGCGTTAGCACCACGGAGAGCGATTTGACAGTTTGTTTAGATGGACGAGTCCATCTATGTTCGGAAAAGAGGAGGGGGGAGACGAAAAATTAATGTATGCTGTCTGAAAGCCACCGTAAGCGTGAACAATCAATTAAGACCCGAAATGGTTTATCAAATCGTTCCAATGATTGCTAAGCCAGAATCCATCTTCTTGGTTGAAATAGTCTGTGTTTGTATATGTGGATAGCCTCATGAACGAATCTCTCATGGTAGCCAGATGGCTTACAAAGAACCTCTGTCTTGGAGAAGTCAATGTCATGTGAGCCTACTGAATTATAACAGTGATCTGCCACGGCCGAGGTGTTGGTCCTACCGTGTTTAAGGTCTGCTTTGTGTTCACGAATGCGGTCCGAGACATGTCGTTTGGTTTCTCCAATGTAACTACTACCACAGAGGCAACTTAGTTTGTAGACACGTTTTCTGTCTGAAATCCTGCGGCCTTTCACTGGAAAAACCACCTCTGCGGTACAAAATTCAACTCACCTGGTATCGACAATCAAGGGTATTTCCCTGTCCTCAGACGACCTGCTTGTCAGTTTTGATGTAGTTTCCTTATTCACCAAAGTTCCTGTACCTGACACCATCGCAATCATTGAAGACTTGGTTCATCAAGGACTAAACACTGAGATACCCCCCCTGGTGAGACACTGCTTAACCAATACATACTTCACTTGGAATGGAACTTTCTACAAACAAACTGAGGGCACGCCAATGGGCTCCCCCCTATCTCCGGTTTTCGCCAACATTTTCATGGAGAAATTTGAGACTGATGCCATCCAGACTACCACTCTGCGCCCAACATTATGGAAGAGGTACGTGGATGACACTTTTGTCATCTGGCCACATGGCCGGCCTCCTCTAGACCAATTCTTCGACCACATCAATCCATACACCCAGCCATCAGATTTACAATGGAAGTCGAAAAAGATGGCAAGCTACCTTTTTTGGATGTCCTAATAAAAAAGAGACCTGATGGTTCAATGAGCCACTCTGTCTACAGGAAAGCTACCCATACGGATGCTTATCTGAAACCGGATTCCCACCACCATCCATCACAGAAGAATTATCTCATCAAGACTCTGCACCATAGAGCCCAATGCATATCCAACCAGGAACACATAGGTAGTGAACTCAAGCACGTACACCAAGCTCTTAAGGCTAATGGTTACTCCGACTATACAATCTGCAAAGCTATCACTCAAACCATGAAGAAGGACCCTCTTGAGGAGCCTTTCAAAACCATCACTTTACCCTACATTGCGGGGATTACAAAAAAGATCTCCAAAATATTGAATAAACACAAGATCCAGGTCCGTTTCAACACATTACATAAAATCCGTGATCTGGTTCTGTCTGTAAAAGATGTGATTCCGGACATACAGTACCCTGGTGTCTACAAATTAAGTTGCCTCTGTGGTAGTAGTTACATTGGAGAAACCAAACGACATGTCTCAGACCGCATTCGTGAACACAAAGCAGACCTTAAACACGGAAGGACCAACACCTCGGCCGTGGCAGATCACTGTATTAATTCAGTAGGCTCACATGACATTGACTTCTCCAAGACAGAGGTTCTTTGCAAGCCATCTGGCTACCGTGAGAGATTCGTTCATGAGGCTATCCACATATACAAACACAGAGACAATTTCAACTGAGAAGATGGATACTGGCTTAGCAGTCATTGGAACGATTTTATAAACCATTTCGGGTCTTAATTGATTGTTCACGTTTACGGTGGCTTTCAGACAGCATACATTAATTTTTCGTCTCCCCCCTCCTCTTTTCCGAACATAGATGGACTCTTGATTTAAAGCTTTCGTGACTGCAGTAATTCATATTCTTAGCTCTTTCGGTAAAGTCACGTTGAAGGGAAACAATAAAATAAAAAGTATATAATTTTGATTGTTTTATATATTTTATTATTTCCCTTCAACGTGACTTTACCGAAAGAGCTAAGGATATAGATGGACTCGTCCATCTAAAAAAACTGTCAAATCGCTATCCGTGGTGCTGACGTCTAAAAATAAATAAATACATACCGCCACTTCTTTCAAATGTTTCTTGCCGTTGGTTTTCACACCTGATGATGAATGTTTGTGTTACAGTTTAAACGTCGTGAGAATTTTGTTTGATAGATATTTTATTGTTTCCCTTCAACGTGACTTTACCGAAAGAACCAAGAATATCAATCACTGCAGTCACGAAAGCTTTAATTCAAAATGTAACCAAATATTTATTTTATTTCTACCTACGTGACTTTACCGAAAGAACCAAAGAGTAACCTGAGGTCTGCTTGTTAAAAAGAAACGGCTCTTTTTCACGTACATCCGTATAAGTGTGAGAAAGCACACGAACGTGCCAGCATTGCAACAGTTTACCAGTGAATTTACCTGCACTGTCCTGTGCCAACATTGAATAAAAACTCTAATAAAAAATCCACCCAGCTCTTCAGTAGTAGATACACAGCCCTCAGCTCTTGTGTGTCTGGGGCCGTCCCACGCTAGTTTGAAAATTCGTTGTGGAGCAACGACTAAAACACTGCTCTCATTGTGCCCTGACGGTCACTGTAATGACTTCTTGCATGAGACACTGACCACTGTGGGTTGTTCGTGGAGCGCGGCTGAAAATCAGAGTAAAGTGTGGTTAAGTACACGAAACCTGCCGCCACACGTTGTGGTATTTAAATGTGAAAGACGTGTTGAGGACAATAACTATCAGAAGCACTTAGTCGTGCAGTAATTACGTTTAGGGCAGCAGAGATAAATGCAGATACAATTATTGTACTGTGCTCTCCAGGCTCTCGCCAGTGCTTCCACTTCTTCAGCCCACACTGACCACCAACGCACGACCCACACGGCGTGGGGGGGCCTTCATCCAGCAGTGGATTGTCAAAGGGGCCGTACAATAATAGTGTAATTACTGTATCAAGGTTGTTGCACGGTAACTTTTTTGAGAATCCATTACCGGTTCCGAAAATCAGGATACGGTAAGGGGCCGTCCATAAATGACGTCACGCACCTAGGGGGGGGAAGGGGGTTCAGACATTTGTGACGAAGGGGGGGGGGGGTTGAGAAATGTGACGTCACATAAAAATGCGCAACTTTAAATATATAATTGTTATTACAACACTAATTATAACAACACTCCTACAACATCAGAATGCAGCGCCACATTAAATACGCACTACAATGACAATAGTTTCAAGCGATTTGAAGCATGTTTTATTTTCAAAATGGAAATATGGTTTTGGGGGGGGGGGGGCAGAGCTTTGTGACGTCATATTTGAGGGGGGGGTCTGACTTTTTGTGACGCCGTGTGACGAGGAGGGGGGGGGGGGTCAAAAATCGTCGTGACGTCATTTATGGACGGACCCCAAACCCCGTGAATGTATAATAGAAAGAGGTGGACATCCCCACATGTTACCCCACCACACACGACCTGCCGATGAACTGCGATTCATCCATCTACACTGCGGTCGCGACGATTTAAGAAACGTGCCCCCATTGTTTCATTTGCTGCGCCGAGAGATGTAATCGACCCGCCGTTCTCCGAATCGCAAGTCCCAGTACCATCACGCGATCACTCTTAATTTCTGAGAAAGATAAACACGTTTCTTGAAATACTTTTCATTATGCGCTCCAAACCGGTGACCACGTTTCCCCGATGTTTTACCCGTGCGGTTAACGGTAATGCAAACATCTGATTTTAACAGCCCGAGTACCGTAATTGTCACAGCAGTCGGTCTCATCGCCGCGTGTTCACGGCAGCTGCACTCCCACCACTCAACCCTTTCAACAGGAGGGGGCTCCATTGCTCGTGACAAAATGCGACGACCTTGGAAGGCAATTGTGGATCGGTTTGTGGAAGAAATATCATTTTTGTGTAAACAGATATGTGAAGGAGACACATTTTCCGATTATGTTTTATTTACATTCTCCACAACGGTGCTAATGATTATCTGCGTCGAACTGTAGGACCCATATCGAAAAAGGATCATTGCCTGTAAGATCGGAAGTTTACCTGACTGCTGATGAGACGCTGTCGAAAACGGGCTAGCGTTTGCTTGTCCTTAAACAATGGTGCTAAAATTAGACACTCTCAGAAGACTGTGCGGCTGTTTAATAACGATAATAATTGTATTTTTGTTTTATATGGATAGATGTATGAAGGAGCCTGCTGGTTTATTTTACGATTCATCGTGGATGGAATTGAACATGTTGCTTTGCTGTTACAGCAGCACGTTTATCAGAATCAGCAGAACTCCAATAATACACAAATTCTTAAAAGTCTTAAAAATCCGCAAATTCTAAAAGTATTCCAATACTTTTAATATGGGGCACCCCCACGGTTCATGATAACTCAAAGGTGCCAGAGTTCCTAAAATCCAAATTTTAAGAGTGGATTTTGGATTTCTTTTGTGAGCGGCTAATTTCTCCGTGACGGAGATTTTTTTTTAAACGCTACACATTGCAAAGGAGCCAGCCGCCAGTGACTTTTTGTTTTTTAATTGGATAACAAGTAAAAAAATGGAAAGTCCTTGAACAAAAACCGATCCGGCACATTTGCTTAATTTGAATGTGAAAAAATATGGTCTATAATCCTTGAATTTAT